CACAAAAACTTCAGCCACATCTGTGTATGGCAGGTATTATTAAAGTGCTAGATGAAGTTAAAATCAATAAAAAAAAAAAACACTAATAAATAGATAAGGGGGTTTTAAAAACAGATGCTTCAAAAATACAGATAAAATTACCTCTGAGTTAAATCACAAGAACAGCAAAGGGTAAAGAAAGAAGGATAAGCAGGTTGAGATGCAACATTACTGCAGTTCTGTGAGCACATGTAAAAGAAAGCAAAAAAGAAGTTAAAGTGAATGATGAAAGAAGGACAGAAAAAGCAAGGAGTAAGGAAAGATAACAGAAACAAAAAGATAAATGTCTGTAAGAAAGAGGAAATTATTGACAGACAAAGACAGAAGGAGGAAAAAGAAGGAATAAAACAGAAAAAGAAAGAAGGAAAAGGAAAGAAGGAAAAAGAAAGAAAAAACAAAAAAAGGGATGGTGAAAAAACTTAAAGGCTAAAAAAAGAGAAAGAAAAAAAGAAAAAAGATAGACAGACAGAAAACAGAAAATATGACAAAAGGAAAAGCAGAGTGAAGAAAAAAAGCGAAAGAAAGAAAAATATTGTGGGGTGAAGAAAGGCTAAATTCATAACAAGAAGAAAGAAAGAAAGAAAGAAAGAAAGAAAGAAAAGGGAAAAATCTAAGCATGACAAAAGAAATACATGAAGGAAAAGAATGTAAGAAAGACAGAAAGATAAACTGATGCAAGAAGAAAAAAAATAAATAGCTAAAAACTAAATAAAGAAAGAATGAATGAAAGAAAGTCAGAGGTTACATTGAATGTGCATCATCTGAGACAGACTGAAAAGATTCATTTCTGGCAGGGCTAAAATGTGTCAAAAGTCTTTTCTGCTCATTTCTGTCTTTTTGACAAATGTGCATATTTCAGATGTTTCTGCATAAAACAAATTGAGCTTCTTTTCCTTTAAGCAGCTAAAAAAAAACTGCATTCAAAAATTCATGTCTCCAGATACAAAAAAAAAAAAAAAAAGGACTACACAAAGCTGCCCACCCTCCCTTTGTGGTTAGAAATCATACAATATATTATTCAGATTAAACATAAAAAATGCATCAAAAAGATCAAAATAATAGATAGATAAAGTACATGTTCAAAATGGTTCTCAAAAAGGGCAAAAACACAATATAATCTACAGCTGGGCATGCACAAATTCAATGTCAAGCCATTCAATCAATCACTGGTCCAGGGAACAATATGTCCCATTATCATTCAGATGCATGCAAAACGCCACAAAGAAGAAAAAAGAAAGAGAGAGAAAGAGAGAGAGAAAGAGAGAGAGATAAAAAGGCACGTCGGACAAGGCACCCCTGCTCATGTCTTGCTTCAAAGAGAGAGAGAGAGAAAGCGAGATAGAGAGCGAGAGAGAGAAAGAGAGAGAGTGGGAGAGAGAGAGCGAGAAGCAGGGAGCAGGACCCACACGGTGTAGTTCCAGCCAATTGCATTCCAGAGAAGTGACCATGGCCAGTGATAAACAAAGCACCATAGATCATTCCTCTCCCAGACGGAGCCCGGCGCTGGAGGCAGCGGAAGGGAGAGCGGTCAGACAGACAGAGAGAGAGAGAGAGAGAGAGAGAGAAGACGACAGAGAGCTCACCGCCTATATGCATCTGCCCCCTCTGCTATCCTTCTGATGCTACATTTTGACGCCCTTTTTGCAACTGGAATGCCATTAAAGCCGACCGCGCAGCACGCCTGCAGATTTGCTTTCCATGACAAGAAACGATAGAGCGAGCCAAAGAGAAAGACAGAGAGAGAAAGAGGGAGGGATGCTGCTTCCCTCTCCCACTGCCACTGTGCCGATGCATCGCATTGAAAAAAAAAAAAAAAAAAACACCCCAAAAAAAAACCTTAAATTGTTCCCATTTCCCTTCGAGAACAAAAAGAGGCATTCAACACTTACCCACTCCCAGACAGAAGCCTCAGATTCAGTGTTCATTTGAGCCCAGTGTGCGTCACAACACAAACCTCAGATATTCCTCCAAAACAGATGTGCAAAAGAGGCAGTGAGGTTCTCCCTCTTTTGTTTGTGAGCCTGCCTGGCTAGGTTTCTCTATTTGCATCAGCCGGCTTTTTTACAGCTTTGAAGCAGGTGGATGACAAAAACATCAATCTCTCCAGGCACATTGTGTGGCATGCACGCTTTGACACACTCCCCTCACCAGCTCTGTACAGTATAATCACACATTCCTATTCTCTCCCCACAGCTTCACGAGTGAATACGGGCTCAAAAAGGAAAGTGAAGGACAAGTGTGCATTGTTGGAGTGCGCTTTTGTTGTAATCATGTTTTGATTGGATTAAAATGGGAATTGGTTGTATCTCTGGAGTTCCATTATCCATATGTTGAGGCGATTTTATGCACGCTGGTTTTGAAGATGGGTTTTTGGCTCATGGATGCAAGTTATCTGACAATAATCAGGAGCCAGAATCAGAGGGTGTCCACTGAAATGTTTTCCAGTCTGACTGGTCAAACACGGGTCAAAAACAAGTCGAGACCAGGATGCGAAAAGAGTCAGAAATCAGAGTTGAACTAACACTCTCACAGACTTAAAATGTCCTCTTTTTCCTTAAAATACATTAAGTGGTTGAACCCTCCCATTCACAGTATTCCTTATGTTTATTAACTTGGTGTCAACTGAACTTTACCTTATCTTGTGGCTGTTGATCCATCAGAGAATCGTCAGACACTGTTGTCGTCTTGATTGCTGCAGGGGAGGAAAATGACAACACAAATCAAGATAAAAGAGTTGAGATGTTGAGATGAAGACAAACAGTCAAAACCACAAGCAAGAGAGCCGTCTGGATCAGAGTGACTGGAAATACATCTGTAATTGCAGCTCTTTTGCACCAAAGAGAGCAACCTTTAGATTGTCTGAACCTGTGTCCTTACATCAATGTCAAATACCGGTAAAGTACGGTAAAAATGTAAATGTGAGCTATGTTGTTCTTTCAGTTCAACCCTCAGAAATTTGTCATCATCTCTGAAGTTTATTTGACCTCTAGTAAGCATTTTTGCAACTTTCAGCTCATTTAAAGCTCATTTAAACATTGCTCTTTAAGCAAAAGGTTATTAGATACCTACTCTTCCCTCTTCTTCATGAGTGGCGCTTAAATCACAGATCAAGCTTGCACCTAGTGAGTCTACAGTTAAAGGAGTTGATGGTGACTAAAACAGGACAAGCTACACTGTGAGAAGTTTTCATGTTGAGTTGATTCTGGTAGATGAAAGTTTAAGTGTTTTTAAGGATGAAGACTGCGTTTCCAATAAGACCCATCAGTGACGCTGTTGTGGAGATGTGCCTCTGAAGTGTCCTTTTACAGCACGAGTAAATGAATGTACATAAAAACTTTTTTTCAGGATACAGAGTAATGATGTGATGTGTTGATCAGTTTACTGTACAGGTCATGAAGAGGTTTCATTACAAGAGTGAGACTGTTTAGAAAGTCAGTTAAAAACTTCTCACATTGCCCGTAAACTGACAATGTTGTCAGAAACACAGCGCTAAGTGACTATATATACAGTAACTGCTGGATGTGTGAATCAACAATTACAAACATAAGCAACAAGCCTCTGACAGATGTTTAAGACAATGTTTTTGTTTGTTGCATTATTTCATTAATGTTGTGGGAAATAAATATCTATTTTAAAAAACTGATTCGACAACATAAAAACACAAAGTCAATCAAAATGTTCCTCTGAGTGGGTGTAACGACATATTTTGAAACGATTCTGGCCTAAACCAATCACCAATCCGTTCCGGATCTTGTGGGATTTAGCGGTAAGAGGTGGAAGCAGCAGTCTGCTAATATGCTACGCTTTTCTCTGAAAGATCTGACCAATTGACCCTCTGTTCCACAACAACATCTCATTGACTTAGATGTAGGGGAAATGTATTTTAAACATCTATATTGAACAAAAAACCCGCCAGCGTTTACCGCAGCTTACCTTTTACTTAGCCCGGGCGGCGCGCGGCGGCCCCCGCGGCGGCTAGTGACCAACTCAGACCCGCGGGCTGTAGCTGCTCCACGACACAGGCTGTCGGAGAGGCAGCGGCGGCAGCTTACTTCTTTGCTCAGCTTCTTCTCCGACAAGATCGGACCAGAGGACACTCTGCTCCAAAAGAAAAACATTTCATGGTCTAAACGTAGTAAAAGAAATGCATTTAAAACCATCAACATTGAATAAAAACCCCGCCAGTGTTAACCCAAGCTTACCTTTTGCCCAGGCGGCCTTGGCGTCCGCTCGCCAGCAGCCACATTTGGCCCGTTGGCTGTGGCGACCCCTCGAGTCAAGGTGGCTGTAGCAGGTGCTAATAGGCTCCGCTTTTTCCTTGGACCTCAGCCCGGGAGGGCCGCGGTTGCTCCTCTTCACCGGCCACTCAGCGCCCCTTGGCTGTGGCGACTAACCGCCACCAGGTGCGGGAGAGGCAGCGGAAGCAACTTGCTGTGGTCTGCTTTTCTCCCTTCAAGATCGGACCAGATAACCTTCCGCTCCACAACCAAAACGTTTCTTTTTTTTGTCCTGAAAGTCGTAAATCAAACAATTAATTTGGTGTAAAATAATTTGTCTTTTATTAGAATAATAAACCAATAACGTATCTTCAAACACTCGTTACCCTTGCCCCCCGTCGTCAGAAAGAAAGAAAGAAAGAAAGAACTTTAAATTCAGTTCATAAATTTGAGAGCCTTGCAAAACTCGAAATAAACTGGATTCCTGGATGGGCTAATGTGACTTTCAAGTGCTCCATGTCACTAACACAATCGATTCTGTAAGTCTTAAACCACACTAGACCGGTGCGCTGTCTGTTAACTAAACAGGTAGCACAATTACTAGTAGTAAATAAATCAGACTAGTGCTAAATAAAAACACTGTAAAATGCATTTATCTAGCTGACGTTTCATCTAAATACTTACAATCAGGCGTGTTATGGAAATTCCCATACTTTTGTAGGTCCTTGAAAGCAGCTGCGTGACGTAACGTGTTTTGCTTTAGGTGGCGGGACTCTCAGGCTGACGCTTCAGGAAGTTGGTCTAGATTAAATGGGTGACTTTTTGGTGAAAACAACTAATTTAGCTTAAATGTAGGGGCTCAGAAGTTTCTTTTAGGCCTTCGAGCTTCGCATTTTATAACAAAGTTATCGCTGCTCTAATCTATCGGACTGACTAACTTTACTAAATCAGTCGTCCTTCTGGATTTACACCAGCCTGTAAGAGTGAATCACTTAAAGTCCAAATGGAGACTCTATTAGTCAAAGAAAACCCTCTACTTTTACCTCTTAACAAGGAGAAAACCATTTATGACGGATTTATTACTGTGCAGGTAAGCTCAAGCGTCAAAGTTGTATTTTGTCGTTCAAACAAACAGTCATCCAAACTACATTCAGTAAACTGAAAGTTTATCTTCACTGTTACTGTGGAACCTCGGCACTCTTAGTATAACGTGGCTTTAAACATTCAACACATACTGAGATGGTGCATTGTAGTTCGGCATATGTGTCATTTTCCAACTCCTCATAGATACTATTTTTGCTATTTATATTGACATGCATGCTCAACGCTGCACACGTTCCGTTATGTGAACGTGAGATACAAACTGTGGTACAGTAGCCTACTCTGGAACTAACTATACTTATGTCTAGTTCAATTTTGTATTTGAATTTCTCGAAGTTGCCTTCATGCTGAATTGAATATTTCATTCTGCTGATTCAGATGTGATGAAGCATGAAGTCATACCTTATGTGCACATTCATCAATATTCAGATCATTTGTATATTGATAATTTCTGTGTGGAGTTTGGCAGTCACGTGGTTGTTTTCCTCAGTCAGTTTTGGAAAATATTGACTGATTCAGTCACTTTTCCTGTGATGAGTTATTTAGATTTTTTTAAAAGATGAGGTTAAAGATCTTATTGTGATGATGATCTAAGAAAACACTGACTGTATATTACATGGACACCACACTTCTGTGCTCTTTCCACAGTGAGCTGTGAAGCCAAGGTCAAACGACTTTCTGTAATAACCGTTCTTGTTGATGTTAAATAAATATATTAACATATATGTATTGCTATGCACACACTAGCTGAATGCAGATGGTCTGTGATGGGATGCATATACAGTATGTGTTACTGCAACAACTTAGCACTGTTTTTATATCAGATAATGGTTTCAAATGTGTGTCGTTGAAAATGTAACCCGAATCTGACAATTCAGGTTACATTTAGTCCGCATGTAATCTTTACATTTTATCAGCAGCTCTTCTACCTTAAGAGTGTGGTGGTGGGATATTTACTTTAGGTAAGAGTTATCCATGCATAAGGAGTTGTAGGCGCACACAAACAGAGCCATGTTATGGAGAAGTACAGCGCAAGCTGAACTAAAAATACTGCAGTGGTGGTATTGAACTGTGAATGCTGTACAAAAATGGTGAAGACGTATTGAGATTTGTGGAAACTGCAGTAAGAAACTGTTTTAAGACAGGTATCTTTCAAAAAAAACAAGTTATCATAGTTCAGTTTTATAGTTTGACTCATGCACCTGTCAACGAGGGAGGCGAGGATAATAACAGGTACTGCAGCTGGTCAGTAGGGGGAGCTTTAAATCCTTTGATCTCACAATCAGTGAATGTTTATGACATCCACTTTAATATACAGTGAGCTGGAAGACATGCCATGCTGTCATTGCCGTCACTACTAAAAGAAGTCGTCTATTTACTGGTTTTATTTTGAAGTTATCATCTGAAATTTAGAGAGGATCTCAGGGAAACAAAAATGGATTAGTTAAACGTGCATTCACGTGTGCTAAGGGATCCCGTAATAAATAACTTAAGCTAGCTTATTTTACTCCCCTAGTATATAAGATTTACTCGTCACACCAAGCGTCTTTAACATATGTTATTGCTTTGCTTTACAGGAACAAGACTTTAGACTGAGAATTGCTCTACCACCAGATCTTCAGCTGAAAAGAGCCAGGTAAATATGAACACCTCATCACCTTTAATGGGACACAAAGCCCAGACAGCTGATGTAGGCCAAACTCATGCTCTAGTTGCTGTATCTGATCACCTCTTTGTTCCTGCAGGCTGCACTGCAGTTGGCAGTTGAAACACCTGTTGAGTGGATATGAACACATAGTGAAGCAGGTAAAATGCACATACAACACAACACCACGGGTGAATTTTTCCTTGAATTTGTGTCCTTATGTCTTTGGTTGATCTGCACCTGCCTCCGCTTACTGTCATTAGGCTGATTCTTGTGAGTGATTAACATTTTTGTTGTGTCATTTTGGCTCCTTTTGTGTTTTTCTGCATCGTGCCAGGCGTCCTTCTCATGCTCTCTGTCAGCACTCCGCCTGGCCCTCACTCTCAAGCAGAGAAAAATATTTTTCACTGTTTAATTAACATCGCCTGGAAAATGTCCCTATTTGTTATGTGGCCCCTCAGGGTTATTTGGATGAGATTGATATTTCACCCCGGGCTGCAAAGTTCATTATTTTCACAGCCTTTAAGCTATCATTAATTATTAAAGCTGGTGGCAGCCCCCATTAATCACAAACACTGTGTTTGATTTGAATGGCTGGCTAGAGGAAAAATAGACAGTGTCACTTCATTATCCTCTCATTCAAGGATGTCTTTTCTCTTGTGTTTGACTCCTCACAGAGGCTGCAGCAGTCGGCCGATCTTGTCAGTTTCATTCTGGAGCTGAAGACTGTCTTGGTAAGGAGGAGGATGACACAGTGGTTTGCACGGTCACTGTGACATTGTTGCTCTATGAATAGGAACCTTCAGGCTCTATCAATAGTCCTGATTGTGAGGCACACACGTACATGAATATTCTGTTAGATTAATGGGAAGTGTTGCAGCCTTTGTGCTCGCCACCAAACAGAAGCATATGACTTACTGGCCCTGATTCACTTCTGCTGTATTTCTACAGTGCAGAGTGGTGAAGCTGTGTTTTATCCATTGTTATATGAGCTTAGAATAAAAAGCTTTCTGTCTCCGTTATGACAGGAAGTGTGTCTGAAGAGCCGCCCTGAGTGCCGCTCCATCCCACCTCCTCAGTATTACTCTCAGCTCATCTCTGAAATGGAGACCCTCGGGTGGGAAAAGTAAGTGACCACTAGCAAACAACCTTGACATCCTCATTACTTAAATTTTTAGGGAGTTTGCCATTACATCTTATATTAAATCTTATATGAACGATTTGGGGTTTGTGTTGGTTTTGGTGCCCCCTGTAGACAAAGGGGTATCTCCTCTCTTGGCAGGTTTTTGTCTTATACGTGCTCTCTCCCTGTTTCATTGTAACACTCATTGGGTAAATTTGCTGAGGTAAATAGAAAAAAGACCGTTGTGATAACATCTAGCTAATCAAATTAACCATTCCTTATGACCTGGCAGCAGTTTTGGACATCAAAAATGAGCAGTCTTGTTATTGACAGTCTTGTTTGGTCATAAAGAGGCGCCCGTGCTAATTTTCATCAAGAGTAGCATTAAGAAAAAGTTCAAATACACCATAAAGCAGTCCCTAAATGAGTCACTATGCTTCATGAAACTGGCATGCAGCCGATAATCTTAAACTAAGCACTTTAATGTAATTATGCATCACACTGACTGAGAATATATGTGTCTCTGTGTTTTTTTTCATTCTGTTGTTGGTCCTACGAAACAGTCATCTCCGGTGAATTTTCTCCAGGGTTAGGAGAAGTGAATAAGTGAAAAAAACTGAAGACACAACCTCTTCTGTTATCTGGTTTTATGGGAACAGAAGCAGTAGTTGTCAGATGTTGGATAATTTGGCCAAAAGTAGTCTTGCTGCTCTTTCTTTTTCATTTCAACTTTAGTTTTCAGGTTTTTTCATACCTTCATCGGAGAGGATAGTATGATGTGTAAAGAAGGGAATGGGGAGAGAGTATTAGGAATTACACGCAAAGAAAGTAGTCAAAGCTGGAGCCATACTAATACTTTTAATTTCTCACCTCATTTTCCCTCAGCTCTGTTAGTGTCCCCCTCTGCTCACCCACACACCACACCTGCAGCTTTCCTCTCTACAGCCTGCACACAGCAGTGTGTCCCCCTACTGTTATCCTCCTCTGTGTCAGATCTTTTGACAAAAAGTCAGCAGCAGCACTCTTTATAAAGATGCCCAAATAACACAGCTCCTGATTTGAAATGTTTCACTTGATATCCTGTCATTACCAAAGGTTATCAGTATGTGAACACTCTCTTTAACGATGCTGTCTTTTGCAATCATCCATAACTAAGAAAGTGCAGACCGACATCTGCAGAAAGCAGCTGGACGGAAGTTTTTGAGAGGTATCATACACAACACGCTCTTCAGTTGATGCGTCAGAGAGTCAAGGGAAGAGAGAGGCAGAGGATCGAGAGATTGAGTAAATCATTAATAGTAGAGGGTGATCATATATCACAGGAGCCCTTAATTCAATATAATAAAATAAAATAACCAACCGTGTTTCTGATCATGTTATTTTACTACATGGGTTATGAGAAGTTATCACCATGATATTGTGGTGAAAACTGCTTTAAAGGTAAGCTTTAAGTGTAGCTTAAGTGTAGTACTTAAGTGTAGTACTTAGTGTAGCTACAGTGGATATAAAAAGTCTACACACCCCTGTTCAAATGCCAGGTTTTCCTGATGTAAGAAAATGACGGCAAGATAAATACTTTCACAATTTTTTCCACCTTTAATATGACCTTGGCAGGTCACATTAAAGGCAGAAAAAGTTGTGAATTTTTTTATCTTGACGTAACTTCTTTACATGATAAAAACTTGGCATTTGAACAGGGGTGTGTAGACTTTTTATATCCACTGTAACTGCGTCTGCACTGATACTGAGTGAATGGCCTCTTAGTGTGAAGATATTCAAATTGGCTTACAATGAGAATTAAGTGATAATCAAATAATTATTTTCCTCTAATGTACAGCATGCTCATGTTCCCATTCCCTCATGTTCCCAGGATACCCTGGAAGTAATTTGCTTGATGATGGAGATTATTTCTTGATGTTCCAGATTCCTCCACTCTGAAAAGCTGCTGCTGCAGAAAATTTGTAGGTTTTACTGTAAATTTCAGAGTTTGTGGGCCAAAATATTATCCTGTATGTTAATGATGCAGATGTTTTCTTCTTTCTTGTCTTTTCCCTCGAGGTAGGATTTACAAACAGAGGTTTATATATATATGTGTAGAAAACCTCTGCTTCTTCAACAGCTTCATCAAGCACTCCTCGCGTTCCTCCCAGCAGTCTAAACCAATAAGAGAGCCTGCGACAACACAGCTTCACATTAACAAATGGCTCTTAATGACTTCCTTATTTTTAGTTATTGAGTTATAGTTAAATCCAGGTCACATTTAATAACTCTCAGCCCACGCATGATGACAGGCCCCGCTAATACCGCCGTCTCCACTCGTCAGGAGAGAAGAAAGAGGAGGAGGGGGGCGACGGCGGTGGTGGTTAGTAGGAGATATCTATTCTCCCCCAGCTCGGATTAAGCCTTGACTACTACACTCATTTTCCACTTTCCTATTAATGACCGCGGCTACAATTATGATATTAGCAAAATGCAAATGGCTCTAATTGAAGACTCTCAGGTTTTAATAGGAGGAGGGGGGGGTGAAGGTATGCTTTATGCTGGAAATGGGACCAACATCATTTTCAGTGTCGTGTTACGGTTAGGAGGCATTATACACAGTGGGCCTCAATCTCCAAAGCACTCGAGATTCGCTTAGCGTCTTAATTGGTATGGGCCGTGCTAATAGCCACCAGGGGTTTTCAGCTGTAATTCTGTCTGCTGATTGGGCCAGGTAAGTGAGTCTTTCTCACTCTCCTCTCTCTGTGTGTCTCCATTTCGAGAGTGTGGTCATCTTAATTGGCTGAAGATGGCATACCACGTGTTAATTAATGGAAAATGAGGTCAAGTAGGTCAGCCGCCATCACTCGGTGGCCTCAGAACGTGGCCCTAGAAGCTCCGGGGCTCATTATGGGCACAGCTGGCACTTCATGTTCACAGGCTCTCAGTGTTCGTACAGAGCGTCATCTCTTTTTTTTCTGGCAGTGTTATCACTCTGTCACACTGTGTTGCTGCTCTTCTGAGGCCAGTTATCGAGGCTCTCTGACAGCAGGGCTCTGTTGGGTCAGCCAGACCACAGGGCTGGGGGATAAGATGCTTTCGAGCCGCGTGATTTACAGAAGAACTGACGTCAAGCACAGTTTTTTTCTTTGACTGCTGTTTCTAATCTTGAGTTTTACTTTCTAATTAGTGCCATTTTGTTTTGTCGGGGCCTGAAGTGGCCTTATTTTGGTTGCAGGGTGAAGCAGGAGCAGGACTAACACTTAACAAAATGGTAAATTTTGTGTAGCATTAAAGCTGCTACATTCGCTGGCTATTTAATAAATAGCACTGTAGGCTTTTTAAATGTTTTTGACATAGTTGTACTCGCAGGTTGATGCCTCTGCATGACCTGTGTAGTTGAATGAGATCATCAGGAACAAGACTGGATATTTATCACCCGAAATCGAAACATCATAACCTCCATTATAGATATGATAAAAATATGGCAAAGAAAAGGGAAATCCCTCCGAGCATGCCCACTTTGTCCGTGGCAAGAACGTTTTCCATTGCTTTAGATGATAAGCCATTCTCTGTTGTAGAGGATGTGGGATTTCCTAGGTTGATCAAGCACATTGAGCCCCATTATGCCATGCTAAGCAGACGACATTTCTCAGACCTGTATTTACTCGAGCAGTTTAAGGTTGTTGCAACTTGCTTTGCAACTGCATAATTGATATTAATTTAGTATATAATATCAATTTTAATTTATGAAATGTTAATTTTATTGTACAAATTAATATTATGTAGCTCACAGTTAAAGCCATAAATGCACCGGTACTAATGATTGGCATAATCATTTCTTTTGGTGTTTTGGTTTTCGGCCTAAGTTGCCTCATTTTTGGTTTCAACCAAGAAGTTTCATTTGCAATTTCCTGAGTTTTTTTTCCCCATCATTTATTACATTACTAGGCCAAATAACAAATAACTCCTATAATCTTTTACTGTAAATAAAAAAAACACATAGTATTAGCATATAGTGTATGCAGTTTAGTTTGGTAAATAATGAAGTTGACCTGGTTAGCCCAGTTAGACTGAAAGCTTGGCTAATTAATACTCGGGTGTTTTTATGCCTCATAAGAAAAGTGTGTCTGTGTGTGTTACTTTATGTTCATGATTTGTATATACATACTCCTTTGCTGCACCTTACATCTCCCCCGTATTCTTTGCTATACCTTTTATATCTTTTATGTGGATGTGCATTTCAAATGCCCCACACACAAGCGCTACATATGTGTTGATCTCGTTGTTCATTAATCACTTTGTCGGCACATAAAATAAGAGATTCACACACATGCAGGCTCAAAAGCACAAATGCGCGTGTTGTGCACGGTCTGGAAGCAGCTCACTTGGCTGTTGAGTTGCAAATGGGATGCTCTCATCAGTCTTCCCAGCAGGACGCCTGACTGTCACGCTGTTTCCATCATGGCCAAGTAGGGGCTGCAGCTCGTTCCTGCTATCCTGAGTGTGAGACCTCACAGGAGAAGAGATGGAAATGTGTGTGTGAGTGATGCACTAATGAGACTTTCTCACCGCTGATACTCTTCATAAAGTCCTGAATCTTAATAAATGGTCAACACTAAGTACTGGTCCAACCCGTCCTCTCTCTATATAGAGGGAAATACACTTTTATCTGCCATCAAGTCCACCTGACTATTGTTTCCTCGCTCTTTTTTATTCCAAACTGCCCATTTCAAACCCCTGTGATGGGGTTTTTGTCTGCTTTTGAAAAAGATTGAAATTAATTTCGATGCCCCTGCATGACCTATTAAAGCAACACAATTATTTCTATGTTCTTATTTAATGTGCCAGTGGAGATTGTCCAACAATCCAAAGTTAAACACTTTAATGTAGACATGTAGTAGTGGCAGCAGTGCCTAAAGCTTATTTAAAAACCCTAACAGCTGATGGAACAAATGACCTCAAGTATTTGTTAGATTTGGCCCTCTTAGCATAAGTTGACCTGCTGGCAATGGCAAGATGGCTTTGGCAATCTCATTTTGGTCTGCTTTATTTCCTTTTTCGCACATTTTTGAGCAGCTTTAGATTGATTTATGTCACCCTACTGGAAAGCTAGCTATTTCTGATTAAAAGCAGTCTTCGGTGACTTACTCACCGAACACTTGTTATTCATATACAGCATGATAGTCTCCCTTTTGAATTATCGTGTTCTCACAGAAGGTAATATAGCGACACAGTGGAAGTTAATTCATCCAAGTCAGCACAAGACTCCGTAAAGACTTTCCAGTCAGTACAGTAAAGACAGTCATTTAGTTTTCAAATAGCTCCCTCTGTCCATACAGGAACCTCTTGGCGCTCCACTTTCCCTCTCTTGAGGGCCGGCTAATAGACGGATTGTCCAATTAATTTGTTTAAGTGAGGCATAACAGATTGACCAAACAATTAAATATTGTCTACCTTGTTGGGAATCAGAATTTCTTGTCAGTTAATCAAGTTTTTTGATATTTTTTATTATTATATGGTAGAAATGCAGGGCCCCAGTCATTGTGATGCTGTTTGGTGGTATTTTGATCTCCATTAAACGGAGAGCCTCTTAAAAGTTGTATATAGGCTGTTTCTTGTTAAACTGGCATATAACCACTCACCTGCACAGGCATGTGGGCGTAAAGCTGGTCTGAAGTCTGGTGGTGCTAGCTCTGCTAATGTTAGCCATTCTCTGACTCTGTTAACCTGATCCTCTGTTTAGCTGTCTTTACTTCACTATGCTCAATTTTTACTTCTTTCTGAGTGCTTTTAATTCCCAGTTAGCTGAACTGTAATTTCCTGTACATCAGTCCCTGCAGAACATCCTGAATTGACACCTCTTCAGACTGTGCAATGTGGCAGCCAGTGTGTTTTGGGAACCCGAAAAAGAAGACAGTGTAATAGATAGAGAGGTGTGGGCTGTAAAAGAGCTTGTAGCACAGATGTATCAGTTTGCACGTAACAGAGTTGAATTGGTGTTATCAGGGGGATAGCGAGTGTGTTTGAGTTGTAGCTCTTAGTGTGCATATGAACTTCAAAAGCGTTGCCCTTCACAGGCGTTTGATTGCATGTGTTTGAAGCAGACATTTTTATGAATCGGGCACAACGTACACCGTCCTTCCATCACTTCCCTAAGTGTGTGTGTCATTCTTGAGCGCACCGCTCACATCACTCCTCTCTAACACACTCCATAAATCCTTGGCAGATATACAGCCCATGTCAGCCTCAGCACAGAGCGTCCATGGTAATGTACTGTAAATCTGGAGGAGGACCGTCCAAATCCTTTGTCTCAGATCAGTCTTTTGTCTCCAGGCCTTCAGTCAACCAGAGAAGGACTCCAGAGGGGGAGGAAGTGACTCCTTCAGAGTGTGCGGCAGTAAATCTGACAGCAGTCTTGGTGTGTGCTCGGGCCAGATCAGTGTTTTGTCCTCAGCCTCAATAGGTTCTAATTAGCCCAGGGAGGTGGTCTGATTTACAGGTTGACTGGAGCTTGAAACAGTGAACCTTTGCTGAGGTCACCCGGAGACACATCATTTTAAGAGGGCTTGGATCTGACTCCTGTGAATACTCCAGTCCCTGTAGTGTCAGTATCACATTTGTTTTACTGGAGGAGTGACAGATTGGTCAAACGTTTGTCAGATGTGAACTAGTGCTGTATGATTTGGTGAAATTATGTGTCTGTCATTATGTTAGGCAATATTGCAATGTGATAAATGGTATTACAAGTCCACTCAGTGAGGAAGATAATAGTTTGAAGTGTGTGTTTTTCCAATTTAACCTTATAACTTTTCAGTCAACACAATTTGAATTTTGACTTAAAAAAAAAAAAAAAAGTGCAGTGCAGATTATCTTTAAATATGGACCAAGCACACACTGGAGACTCATTTGAGATGTATTTCTGTACCTTAAAAGAGGAAATCACCAAATCTGAAAAAATGATTGAAGAGAAAAGTGAAAGAAGAGCATTAAAGAATACCATCAAATGTTAAAATGACTGGTAAGTCATCTTGAGAGGAACAGTTCTCCATTCCTGATTTGTGCTGTGCCACTGCAGGTCTGCTAGGATTCGCTTTCAACACCATTGTCTAATGATAGAGAGGTCACTGTGGCAGATAGCGGTATTCTGTCAAACTGAGTGTAAAACCAACACCCAACACTGAGTGTAAAGTCTATTGAACCCTTAGATATGAGTTATCTTTCTGTTGTTTTTAGACTGTAACTAATATTAGAGTTTCAATAAAATCCAGAAGTGAATGTGTTGATTTATTTAAACCTCTTTGTTAATAACAGTGAGTGATTATCCTCTTCAAATGTCTCTCTAGTTTTAGTTGTAGCTTTGATGTAGCCTACTGCAGCAACTTAGCGTTTTTTTTTTTTTTTTTTGTACCTCGTTACTTTTTTTTTTCTTAAACATTTAGAAAGTTTGCAGTCTGTTTTCTGAAGGTCCACATTCACACATGCACTCCTGGAAATTTAAAGATCTTTGCTTTTCCCATCTGGAAAAGGATTGTCTCTCTCCGGCCTTGCGTTTTATGCTGCGCTCCAGTCACCTTGGAAGTCAGATGTCAGAGCTGGGAATGACGTTACACCCGAGTTGACGGCGTTCCAGTAAACTTGTCGGATAATCAAGATGGATGCCTACTGTTAGCTGTTGTCTACAATTGTCAGCTGTCAATAGCCGTTGTCAGTTGTTGTCAGCTATACTAGTTGTAAACAACGCATAACACAGTATTTTACTCTTACGAACACTATAGCACTGAGCTCACAGTTAGGCGTTGGGCAGTACAACATATACCACTTATTCAATTTCCCAAAAACAAAAAAGAGGTGCTAATTAATAATACATTACAAGAGCTTTCTCTGTTATTCTTTACTGTTGATGCACTGCGCTGCCATCTTGGATTATGACGTTGTCGTCAAGTCGGGGTTGGTGAGGACTCGGAACTCGAAAATTCCTACTTTCGAGTACAACTGGAACGCAGCATTAGCTACCGATGACGGAGATTGTATGGAATAAATGCCATGCCTCCACCCAAACCCGACTTAGCTGCATATTCACATCAGCTGACCCTGACTTTTTGTGTAAATTTTAGCTGCAGGCTGGCAGAAAGAGCTGTGGTGAAAATTCCCCTCCATTCTCTGCCAACCTAGAAGATTTAGGGTATATTTCTAAAGTCTTGTGCATACATGTATACAGATTTACAGAAAGCATGAAATCTACGATTTTTGTGTGCTGACCGAGCTTTTAAGTGAATGAAAATGACGCTCACAGTCCTTCCTGACTGAATGTTTGACCCCTGATGAAAGCATTAGATTAGGATGTTTGGAAATCAGAAGTTAAAGCAGAAAAGCGTGTCCTGCACCTTGTATGTTTTTGAATGTGAAGCTTCAGCTTGATGTAATGTTCCTGTGTTGGTACACATGGCGATAAATCTAAAGTGTTGATGTCTCTGTATTGCTCTCAGCAGACGTGATTAATGACAGATGATGGCTGCTGTCACTTTATCCTGTTAAGTGTACCCTTCTCTGTGCATGGATGTTGATTTATTGTGTAATGTATTGTGTATTTATGTGTGTGTGTGTCTGTCTTCAGGCTCCTCTTCATAGACACAGAGTTCAGGACAGTGAAACTAAAGGCGGAGGATTCCTCGGGAAGGCAGCACGTCCTCACTATTAAGCTCAAGTCTAAGGTGAGACACACTCTCCTGCGCACACAGAAACACACACACAGTTTCCTGTAAGTACTTCTCACTCTGAAAATTACCCACCATCAACTGGAAAACTCTACAATTTGATGTTGACCTACAACCAGTCCAAATCCAAACAGGCCAACTCCACCAAACGCATACGGGATGTTCAATTTGCTGATAGCAAATCAGTGATTTACATCTGCGCCCCTAAATCTGGGTCAAACTGGAGAGGGTGTGGAGAGACATGATAACCCACTGTGACTGAGATGTAGCACAGATAAAACATCTCCACATAGACCTCAGCGTGATGGAAACCCTTCTTCTATGCATAAAGAGAACCAATACACCCACACTCATCTGCATAGCTGCTGTCTGTGCTCGCTGCTGTCGCGGGGGGAGTTTGTACAACCTTTACCTACTGCAGATAAAGGTAAATGTAGGTTAGTGGAGTCTGGGGGGGTGTCTGTAATGTTTTCATGTCATAGATCTGAAAATTGTCGGAGAGGAGATGTTAAACTGATTTACAAACTCAGGAAAATGTAATAGCTTTGGCTGATTTTAGGGTGAGTTGTAGATGCATGTAGACCAGACTCCTCAGACATCAGGCTGGTTCTCTTCGAATGTGATCATTTTATGTGAATTCAATTATTGTGGCGTTAAAGGAGCTGGTAACTCCCTAATAAGCATGAGGATCCTCACACGTCCCTCAGCCCCATTACAGGAACCACTAAGCTGGTGAATAGTGTTAATAAAGAATTAGAGTCCAATCAGACATTACTGCCTCATCTTAACCTTCATGGATAATTCTAGTTCATTACTCCTCAGCTTCAATTTTCTGTCCTGGTCGTCATTTCATTCAGTTAAAATAACATTTGTCTTCCCCAAACTGTGTTCACACTAACCTGCTTTAAATAATCAGCTGATGCTTAAAGGAGAATCACTCAAAGTTGGAGTCAGGAGAGTAATATTGGATGATTTTAATACCAACCCTTATTTGTAAACAGAGCACCTTTCTAAACCTAGGTTTGAAAATGCCATTTGTTTGTGGGGGGGAGCCCCGACAAGTCAATCACGGAGTGCAGCAGATCATTTCCTTGAAGTAATAATCATCATAATAATCATTTTGCTCTGCAGACGCGGTTGTTCTTCTGCATAAGGGTCTCGGTCTGATTGCATTTCCATGAAATAATGATCATAAATGTTCTTCCTTGAGCTGCGAAACTCCGCTGCACTCAATGATGGGCTCGTCAGGGCTCCCCCACAGACAAGCAGCTGCGGTAAGAGTGTGGGTGAGTTGTGTTTAGTCTCTCTGCTAAAGAAATCAGTCAAAGTTAAAAAGATGTTTGGTGGCTAGTTTTGTGGCTGACTCTATATGTGCTGTTGATGAAGTTAGGTGCTGATCTGAGCATTATTTGTGGCTATAGAGTGGCTTTTTGGTTGAGCGCGTAGCTCCTGAGACCGCTGTGTATTGTTATCATGCGGTCATTACTAAAGTTTGTGTAACTAGAGAAACAGGCGGTCGGCAGGGGGGGTGTCTAACTCTGTGTTATGGTGTGTTTGACCGTAACTTAATTTGATGCCAGAATACCCCTTTAACAACAACAGCGACAAGATAAAAACAGTCTGTCTAGATTGAATAAATAAAATGAAAATAAATAAAATGAAAATAGCGACATTCAAAGTTAGCAACCACAATTTAAAAAAGAGTAAGAGGGAGGCACTGGGAGATGATATGGCAATGGCGCAATCACCTTATCTTTCGAATTACAAAAGTGTTTGCCTCAGGGTTTTCCTTATACCCAGAGAATCATACGGTGCTCTGTGTTTCTCACAGAGGATGGGGGGTGGGGAATCAATGAATAAATCCAGTTCTGCCTTTTTTTTGATCTCCCAACATTGAATCATGTTTGAGCTTTGTGGGACCTGTAAAGTAACGCTGCACTTTGAATCAAGTCAAGTCATGAAAATTAAACCAGTGATGAACACATCGCTTGGTTTGGAAAGCTAAAGAGAAGAATTAATTTTAGTTGGATTAGAAGTTGAAGTAAACTTTCACAGATGTATGAGTAAAGGCACACATCTCTCCCGTGAAGCAGGCAGAAGTGCAGGAATCTCTGTGTGGTTGCATATTCCTGGCATAGTGGGTGAGAGTGAGTTGGTGCTTACCTAAGCCCAGATGACATCCACCAGAGACAAGGGAGGGTGGTGGGACCCCTCTCTGAGCCCACCTGCCCAGCTGGCCCTCCTCACCCCTCTGGCACTGAGTAAAAATAGCTTGAAGTCCTTCCTTCTTTCCAGCTGCTTCCGCCAGATCCAGCGCCAGGTCATCCCTCACCAGGCACAGCCAGGGAGGAGGCAGCACTGGCACGGACACACGGAGGGGCTTGGATCACAAGGGAGGGAGAAAGGGAGAGCTCAAGGGAAGGACAGAAAGTAGCTTGTTGGTGAAGGTGAACAGAGAGAGAGAGAGAATCTGGCTCAAATCTGCTGACCAAAGCTTCTTATCAAAGAGGGGCTTCTAGCTGCATGTGGAGGCTTCCCCCACACTCATATTTATGATGAATTCAGAACCATAGGAAGCCATATTTGATACTAAGCATGAACAAGCAACCAGCTTCAATAAAAACTGTCAAATAAAAACATTATAGAAGATTAGAATACCATTTTTTAAAAGTTCCTCCACTATAATACCTGTGATTCACTTACAACAGGGCAGGCTAACTAAAGACTACGTAGTGCTTTGATTCTGCAGATACTTATAAAGCTTTTACTTTGAAAACCCACAGCACCCTGCAGAGGCTCCTGAATGTTCCGCTGACCTTCCTGTCCCACTTGCCATAACCTGGACACCACAGGTACGTATCGCTGATCCAAGACTGTTCTACCATCTTTGTATGAAGCATTTACTTCATTTAAAAAGATATTTATTTTTCTGTTGTGTTTTGTAAGATGAATTTTGTGCTTTGGACAAACTTAGTGTAGAAATCTGAGCCTGAAAGCTCTTATCTTTTCTCAGTTAGATGGAAAAAAAACATTTTTGACACCAGTGAGATACTTTCTCTTGTGCATGCATCTTAGCATGTGAAAAAAAAGTGTATACGTCAGCTTCAGTACTCCAGGAGCATTTTAAGTACACAACAAGCTTTGGCGTGTTCAGGGTGAGTCTGCAGAGCTGCAGGTGGACAGTACTGCGCAAATTTACAGTCAGCTCTTAAAGGTTGTTGGTCCTTGTTGCTGTTGTTTGCTCTCTTGATTTTTTAAATGCGACTCTGCTTCTTATCTCTGCCTCTGTGTGTGTGTATGTGTGTGTCACTCCTTTTTTACACATACACACACACACACACACACATGGACATGCTCTCTGAGATATTCAGTTTGATTTTTTTTTTTTTTTGGTCACACCAGCAGTTTTCCATCACAAAAACTACAGCTCCATGTCTCAGCATCACACTGGACCGACCGCTCTACCCAATGTTTCAAATACATAACAGAGGAGTGTGTGTGTGTGTGTGTGTGTGTGTGTGTGTGTGTGTGTGTGTGTGTGTGTGTGTGTGTGTGTGTGTGTGAGGGTTAAAATCAGACAGGAGAAAGTGAAACGGAGAATTTGAGCAGAGAGATACTAATGTGTGGGTATATCTCAGTGTGCGTGTGTGAGTGTGTGAGTGTGTGCATGCGTGCGTGTGTGCGTGCGTACTGTTGAGCCACGCTGTTGAGCTGATACATGGCAGGCGTACAGTGAGGACCAGCTTAGAACAGCGCTACCGTATGGAGCCTGTCTGCCTGCTGGGCCGTTGATGGATCTCTCCCACACTGCAACATGAAGTGTGTGTGTGTGTGTGTGTGTGTATGTGTGTCTGTGTGTATGTGTGGCAGGGGGAAGGGCCTGTCTGTCGGCAGCCCTGACATGTTCATTTGAATGAGTAATTATTGCCTGCTCTGTTGCAGGGCCAAGACATGCCACTCTGTGCATTTGTGTGGAACTAGAATGGCAAGAGGAATAAACCTGTGTGTTTGTGTCTGTGTGCGCAGTGTGGTGTGTGTCCTTCTGTCCTGCTCGCAGTCTAAACAAAGGTGGTTTTTAACAACCAAAAATGGCATAAATCAAGAAATCAAGAAGGTTTCAGTGTGAATGAAACAGCTTTATAGGACATTGTGAAGAATTTCTACATTAAAAAAATGAAAAGCCTTTGAAAGTTAAAAATAGAGCCGACTATTGGAGAGCTGCAGATCCCCAAAGGTCTGTTTCCACCTAGGGGTCTTGTGCAGTCCAATGTCCAAAGTCAAAATTTGGGAAAGGTACTTTGAAACATGAGTACAATTGTACATTTTCGTGCCTCTGACATATATATAAGTGATACAGGGAAAAGACAGCCTCCAGATGATCATTCTTTGGTGAATTTTTGGCCAAGAACCTCAGAGAAGCTCAGAGTAAAAATCTGGTGTGATGGCTGCTCACAATGGCAGTCTGAACAGTCTAATCTGTCAACCGGCATGACAAAAAAATCGAACCACTAGAGGCCCTTTCGCAACCAATATGCTTCCGACTCTGAGTGCCAGGGTAGAGTAAAATCTGGAAGGCAAACAAGGTAAGAGTTTACTGTACTAAACTGAACCAAACTTAACTAAACTGGACTCACTAGTGGGAACTGCAGATAGAGCAATTAATCAGTCAGGCCCATAGACTGTATATACTATGGGCAACTTGGTTCCAGCTTCTGCCAGTATACGGATTTGAAGCCAAAAAGCTTCAAGGTGGGATTTATGACCTATACTGCAGCCCCTCACCAGAGGGTGCTGTTCTCAGAGGTGGCTTCACCCAGAGGAGGCAGAAGGCGTCCATTCTATCTACAGTCTATGGTCAGGCCACTTAATCGGGGCCAGTTAATGACATTTAGAAATATTTGGCATTGGCAGATATTGGGGCTCAGGAGGTTGGATATGAAAATTATGTCTGCAGACACTGCAGGCAGCTCTGTCAGTGCAACATCAGCACTCGCTCAAAACAGATTGTATGACAGCAGATGAAATCTTAAAGTTAATGACATGTGTTTGATATGTATGCTGTTAGGATTCAGAGGCTAGTAGAGTAGTACTACTACTTGATGTACTGATTTTACAGTTTAACTTGTTCCCTTTGAGCTGGCCCTTGAATACTCCTTGGTTGGTTTTGGATCAGGTCCTCTCTGGTACCTTTCTTTCCTCTCATTGGTCTCCTGTTGGCTTCGTTCTCCTCTGGTTACTTGTTTTCTAGTTTAGTCTCTTTGACTCTAAAAGCTTTTTCCCATCAAGGATCCCATGAGGCCTCTTTATCTCAGGAGCCGGTACAGACCGTCTCTTCTGAGGGGCCTCATTTGGCCTTCTGGTTTTTACACATCAGTCTGTTTTTTTCTTGGCTTTTTAACTCCTGTAAAGTTTACAAGCATCTGTGTTAAGAGGAGTGAATTCTTTTAGCCCCGCTGCTCTATAGAGCTAAATTGAGGTCAGTCAAACAGATAACATAAATAGATAAAACCTTGACTTAGATTCAGTCTCTTTATACTTTCTCACAGCCTTCCACTCTCCTTCATGGTCTGTTCTCAGATACAGCAGGAATTCAATTACCAGCTCTTCTTCCCTGGTCTTTTTTCTCTCTGTGAACTGGGCCTAGCGCGGTTATCCTGAGCTGTAGCCGTAATCATGCCACTGGCATTAATTGGGCTGTAATTGCCGAGGCTCTCAGCACCTGGACGATGCTTAATTGTGTGCACTGTGCTGGCACAATGACCCATAATTTTTGGTTCATTTTTTCCCCTAATTCTTTCCCTCTCATTCCATCTGCATAGCTCTGCGACTCTTCTATCAGCCTCCCTTTCTCTCCGTGTGTGTGGGTGTAAATGAGGATGTGAGCGGGTCTTGAGTTGTTTCAGTTTTTACCAACTGGTCAGTTTCTATCAGCATGTTTAGTCACTCTGATTGCAGTGGTGGGTCGTATTCCTTCGGCATTGAGTTTTGTGAAATAAATGAAATATCTCACAGCATCAGTGCTATTATGGGTGTGAATGTTTTTTGAAGCAAGCAAATAAAGATGGCTGTTAACATGTAAGGGAATCTGAGTTCAACATCTGTGCGTTGGTGACATTAAAACTCTGTTATATAGAATGAGCATGACCAGTGATGAAAGTCTGATGGGATGTTAATCTTAAAGGTGGGGTAGGCAGGATCTGAGGAAGTGGCAGTTTTGGGGAGAAATCTTGAATGTAAACTCTACCCCTCCCAACCAGTTCTCCCCTCAGCTCCTCCCCTCCCCTCCCTCTCTGCTCCAGCAAGCCCCGCCCACAAACAGATGCTCCTGCTCGCTCATATCGATATAATGCGGATAAATACTTCTGATGATTACAAATGGGGCCCAGTCAACGTGAAAGTAAAAAGCATTGGTGCTACTGTAGATGCCAACAGACTACCAGCAAACACAATGTTTGCAGGACTTCTACAACTAGGATAAAGTGACATAGTCCAGGACCCGAGGGAAACAGTATAGCGACACTACAACACGCAGTAGGTCTGATATTGTAGCACGCTCACTTTGTTTGGGCTCATGAATGTTATTTGAGTATGTGGAGCGCGCCTCACAACATGAGGGAGCAGTGTCTGCCTCACAACCAATCAGGTTAGGGGAGACAGAGAATGGCTTTGTTTACAGTCAGAAAGAGCGGGCCACTCAAAAAATTTAAAATGTTGACTATAGGGCTGAAACGATTACTCGAGTAACTCGAGTAACTCGATTAATAAAATTCCTCGAGGCAAATTATATGCCTCGAGGAATCGTTTAAATCCGGAACCATGTGCAGCGCACGGTGTTTGACACGGACGGTTATTTCTGTTGCGCAGCAGCGTGCTCTTTCCGCTCCTTCCGCTGCCGCGCGTTTCATAGACATAATAAAAGGGTAGACCCCGCTGGGGGTGCTGTGCAGCGAGAAATGCGGCCGCCATCTTGGTCAGGTCAAGCTTCCCATACGCTCCGGTCAATCATATTCATTCATTCAGCGATGCCGGAGCACTGTGCGGCGTATTCCTGTGCCAACAGGCGGACAGCAGAGAACAGGGCTCAAGAAATAACTTTTCACAGTTATGATTAAACGTTTTTTAAACATTACACTTGACTGTAGAGTCATTTGTAGGCCAAAGAGGAAGACTATCGGTCAACTCCAAAAAGGAAACAGCATTTGCGAACAGCTAGCTTATTCACAATAATAGCAACTTTGGTCGATTATCAACAGATTTGCATTAGATTGAAAAACTTTTGTTTGAGAGAGGTTCTAAGAAACGTTAAGAAATAAAATAGAAAGAAAAAGGAAGAAAGTGAGCTCTGTTTTATTATCTGTTTTATTAAAGATTTCTTTGTGGTGATCTCCTGTTTCATTTTGAAGATTTCCTAAGGACAAAAACTTGAGGAAGAAGTGGGAGATTGCTGTTAGAGGGAGAAATTCGCAGCAAGTGATTCCTCTGTGCTGTGTAGCCAACAAGCAAATTGATATGTAGTTTCGATGCTGTCCTGTCATGCTGTTCTTGTGTTTAAATCTTTTTGATATGTAGGCTATATATTTGTGTGTATTTTCCAGTTATTAAAATAGTGCTTCTATATGACATTATTTGTGTGTGTCTACAAATGGATAAATAAAATTAAACTATATAAAAAATTATAATCAAATCAATATATATTGAATTGGCCTATTAATACCGCCAGTTATTAATAATTATTGAGACATAGCAGGAACCTAGCTCTAAACCTAAATATATCCTTGATTAATTGTTATACTATAATACAGCCACTGCTGCCATGTTCTAAAATATCATTTTATTCATTCTGAGTATTTGAAAACGCCAAAAAAAAAATATGGCCTCTATCATGCCTCTTTGAATGGCGTTTGCAGGGAAGAAAATAACGTAGTATTGAGCGAACTATGATTCATTAATGCGCTCAGACTTCATTTCGCCGGTTAAACAGCGGTGCAGAGTGAGGCGGATGACCGGACCAAGATGGCGGCCGCATTTCTCGACAGCGCCCATTCGTGGTAGCGGCCGATGCGGGGTCTATCTTTTATTATGTCTATGGCGCGTTTGCTTCAATCATGGAGGGAAACGAGGACAGACAGAGAGAGGAAGAAAGAGATGACATGCAGAGGAAACGGCAGAAAGTGTCTAAAGTGTGGGACCATTACACACTGAAAAGGAAAGAAAACGCCGTGCAGTGCGCTCACTGTAAGGCGGAGTTGGCGTTTCACAACAGCACGTCGTCAATGCTGCAGCACCTTAAAAGAAAACACCCGGTCCATGCATTAAGTCCGCTCTGAGGCAAACGTGATTCAATGCAAAGTATTACAGTGAGAGCAAAACATTTCTTATCCGATTACTCGATTAATCGACAGATTAATCGATAGAGTACTCGATTACTAAAATAATCGATAGCTGCAGCCCTAGTTGACTACACAGACACAAGAGAACACAGCGATATTGTGATATTCCCAAATGTCATCAATAACTAATAGCTATTGACTGATATTGAAAGCTTTTTTGTACATACACCGCAAAAAAGGTGCCTCTTTAACGGAACTCTGCCTGCCCCACCTTTGATCAATAATATCAATTTCACCATACCGCACCATTGCAGCTATCCAGAGGTTCTTATGACATGATGGAGCTCAGGGACTCCCAGAAAAGACTAGATTAGTGACTCTAATGGGACATGATGATTCAAAGTTAATGACACAAACAGAAAGAGGATAGAGGAGGAGTGAAAGGTGCTCAATGTGTGAGTAACAGCAGCATAACAAAAAGCTGGACCAGGTCTGAACCAGCTCTAAATATGAGCTTTATAATAAAGGAACAAGTCACAGCTCTAAAAGGGGCCACAGACTTCTAAAGTGTTATACTCTTTGGCTTTCCAGACTGAGTTCACAGCTGTGCAGGATGCTGTTAGACAATGGAAACCAGCTTCATTAGAATAAAATGATTCAAAACAATACCACTCTAAGTAAAACAAAATACTAAATACAAATACAGACTGGAGCGTTGTTTTTCCATGAACTCCTAATCCTCACCAATCATATACTTTTCGGAGCTTTAAATTTCATGATATTGTTATTGACTGTATTACCTTTTCTGTCCTGGTTTGGTAGAGCACTCTGGACTTGCTCCACAGTCAGTTCCTGCTGGTTTTGGAGTCTCTGACTGAGTTCTGGGACGTCCTGGATGAGATTGACAGTAAAACCTGGATACTGGAGCCAGAAAAACCCAGCCGCTCTGACACCATGAGGCGCATTGCCATCGGTAGGTGGGCAGATCTCTGCACTGTCAAAGACAAGTCCTCAGCTTTTTCTCTTTTTTTTCTTTTTTACTGAAAAAGCCAATTGTTGTTGTACATCCTTATCCGTGTGTGCAGGAAACAACGTATCCATCAAAGTGGAGGTGGATCCCAGACACCCCAAGATGCTGCCAGAGTGCTGCCTGCTGGGAGCCGAGCATGGTGGGTAGGATCTCAGAGACACGGCAACACTTTGACAGTGTTTTCAGGCAGGAAAGAGGAGACGAATTGTATCTTCACTAATACACACTAAGACCTGACACTCTGTATTACAGCATGTGAAATCCTCTCCTTGTTATGATACAGTCATCAGGAGCCCACAAGGTTTGGGAGTGAATGTTATTTTTTTTTTAAGTGTCTTTGAGGAAGTGAAGGTAAGATTGTGTGAATAAATGGATCAGTAGATGCTGCTCGAAGCTCTGTAGCTTTTAGTTTAGTTGGACTAGGATTGAGCTTTTACTTAAGTGACATCTATGAGCACAAAACTGAAAGCTATCATGTTAACTCCATACAGCAAATATCTGGTGTACTTTGATAGACTTAATGCTCATGAATGCCGAATAGCATGCACAAGTCTCACCTTCAAGCAAGAGTGTCATTATATCTTATGTTGATTTGATATATTATCTTTACAAACGCTGTGTTTCAGCTGAAATGTTCATAAAAACACTTAAATGATGGTTAAATGTATAAAGGGTTGACGCTGTAAGTTGCTTTTATATGTGAACAAACATACGTAATTGATCAGGACAAGTAGAAGGGTTTAACTACATGGTTTGAAAGATGGCTGCTTTGGTCTTTGAGTCCAGGAGTTTTTTGGATGAAGGTGAATGCTAAATTGGTTTTGCATTGCAGCTGCTGTCAATTGTTGTTTTTTTGGAAATTTCACCCAATATTTCCGTTTTTTTTTTTTTTTTTTTATGCGATGAACTTTTTATTGAGGCACAGCGAGTACAGCAACATCCATACAAACACAATACCCCCCACCCACCCCCCTGGCAGCATCCCTCGCTCCCCTCCCAGGTCTCCCCTGGACCAGTCAAATATCATCAAGTGTCGACAGTGCATTGTAGTGAGTGGTGCCCCTCTGTTCACAACTATAGACTGTATCTAGAATGGACAGCGTCATGGGTGAAGCCACCCTGAGAACAGCACCCTCTGGTGCTGCGCTGCAGTATAGGTCATAAATCTCGCCTCTACCAGCAAAGCTTGTGGAGCTGTGGAGAAACTTTAGAAATTAATTACACAGTATATAAATTTTTCTCCCCCCTGCTTGCAGTGTTGACATGTAGTTACAGTCAGACTGGTTTGTGCTCAAGTCCTCTTTTTTTCTGTACAGCTCCATTTTCAAAAGTTATTAGGGGGGTTCATGTTTTCTATGATTGACACCTGGCGCAGCCTATGGGTGTACGAAGATTACGTAGCTCACCCGGGGGATACGCTGTTTGAGCCAAGTGTCATCACAGCAACTCTCTGCGACTCTCCGGCCGAATGTGTACAATGCTACTGCTCAATGTTGGTTTCAGAAAGTGGAGAAAAAACTCAGAATTACCGAGAGCTTTTTGGCTTCAAATCCGTATACAGGCGGAACCAAGTTGTCCATAGTATATACAGTCTGTGTTCACAACCCAAGAAGTTTATCCTTGATCTGCGCAGCTGCAACTAACCACGTCCCCAAAGTGGAGGCTTTAGCATTATATTTCCGTCCTATAACCAGATACCAGACCAGTCATATAACCAGACTGCTACAGTATTTTTCAACAACACCTTTGCTTCTGTAAAATGTTTGAGTTTTTAAATATCCTTAAATAACGTATAGAATAAGTATTCAATTTTGTGATATCACAAAAAATATGTCAATGTTTTTGGTTATTACATTATCAATTCAATGTCAGAAAGTGTAAAAAAAAGTTTAACAACTTGTAAATCATTCACAGGGTTACTACACAGGTGAAATTTCCACACTTTTTAGAATTATTTTTGGAAATACCAACTTTTCTATTTTAGAAATAGTATTTGAGATTTCTGGTGTTAGTCTGGAAACATAAATATTTTTCCATACTTTTTAAGACTTGGAAATTGATCAAATTTATTTCCATACTTGGGAATGAATCCTGCATTCAGAATGGTATCTTCTTATTTTTGGATAAAGTTTTTTCAAAAGTTAAAACTGCAAATTTATCTGACTCTTTATCTGGCCTGAGTATAGCAGTAAACAATCAATTATGTGGTAAGTCATTCATCAAACTCTTGTCCTGAGTCTGAAATCAGAGGTCTGTAGTGACACAATGATCTACCAGCTGAGGATCAACCAGGTAATAAAGTCCAGACTGTGGTTTTGCCCAGCTGTATTCAGATCAGATCAGTGAGGAGCACTGAAAAAAGGAGTAATACCGCTTTCCAGCAGATTTCCTCACAACTCAACTTCAACCAGACTGCTTGGTGTTGACTATTGTCTGCCTTCATGTCAGAGGACTCGCCGTTTTCATTCTTACCACACCAACACCAGAGCCAGCTGGCGAGCTTCGGCTTTCTATTTAAGTCCCCGTCAATTGTCGGCCATTGTTTCTGTAAACCCAAGGTCATGCAACACCTAGCCTGTTGCCTAGCAATGCAACTCAAAAGATATTAAACACATACACACCTCAGCCACCAAGACGGGAGGCAGGAGGCGACCCTCAAATACGAGGGGTCGCGCAGAAATATTGCTTTTTGCATGTAGGAATAACAAATAGTGAAAGTGATGAGTGCTGCACGGAGACAAAGCTCCCCTGTGGAACAGAGGCAGCAATGATGGTTCATATCTGACAGCGGTGATGCCGCCGTCTGTGCTGAGCCGGCCTGTTGTCAAATAAGAGACGGCGTTTGAGGGTATGCAGAGTATGCTGTTTTAGGAGAGTCTAATTTTCTAAGGCTTATATACAATAATAGTGAATCTGCAGGTGCTTGTAATGTTTAAAAAAAGACATTCAAATCATATTTAAGGTTTTATTAGGAGCAGAGTTTACATGCAAAACCTAATAACGCTGTCCTTTATTTTATTGCAGTGGTGACTCCGCTGAGGAATAAGCTCAACGCTAACATGCACTTGTGGTAAGTTTCTCTCCACGAGATTTTACATATCAGTGTTTCCTGCAGCTTTACAATTGAGTCTTTCATCAGCATATGATCATTATTTTCTTTTACAATTACACTAAGTTTAATTTTCTGTTTTGTTTCATACTAGATCAGTTTCATGAAAAATCTGTACTTCTGTCAACAAACCCAATGACAAGACCAAAACCAACAACTGCACTTTGACACAGGAATCTACAGACAGTGCTGTAAAAAAACCTGCTGTTATACGAGCTTTGATTTATTTTGGCACTTAAAGCTTCTGTGAGGACTTCTTGGCTGTAAGAAGAAACAGACTGAAAATCATGCTGATGCCTCTTAATAACCTAAAGGGGAAAAAGAGGCCATCAGCTTCGTTCACTGTGAGTTGAAATGTCTGTAAACACCGTAGCAGGGTAGGATTTACAGGATGACATTTTAGAGAGAAATCATTCCTTAAAGGAAAAAAAAGGTACCGCTTTGTCTGCTGGCAGCACAAAAATCAACCAAATCAAAAGTTCCTCACAGGAGCTTTAATCGGCGTTGGTATGTTACTCTCCCCACGGGTGATTGTAAAAAGCCTCCAGAAATGAAAAATGAAATCGATAAGTATGGCGTGTAATGAAACAGCTTTGTGCCAGCAACGCAATTGAGTTTGAGACAGTGAAAATACATATGGTATGTTGTATCTGAACAGGTTAGCTTACCTGCTAAAGTTACTTAGCTCAGATGAAAGTTGAAACAAAGACGTTTAGCAAAGTGTTAAAGCACACAAACCATCGTCATATGAGAGACCCGTAAAACACGTAAACAATCAGCTGGTCGGTGAATCTGATGTCGCAACAACACAAAATCTAATTGGTCAGAAGTGGACACACAGTATGCGAAACTTTAGAAAATTTGATTGTGATACAAAAATTAAATGCCACTGTGAACACTTGTATTGACAGGATACAAGTTTCAAGTTTTAAGTTTTATTTGTCACATGCCTAAATGTACAGGTACAGTGGCAGTGAAATGAAAGTGACGTCTGCGATTGTGCCAAAGAAAAAAAGAATATGAATAGAACACAAGTATGTAAAAATAAATAAATAAATAAATAATAATAATAATAATAATAATGGGAAAATCAATATAAATATCAATCATATATAGAAAGAGATAAAATAAAAATAGAAATGAGATAAATATCCACTCCTACATACATCCTATGTACAATAACCTTAAGATAAAAATCAAAATAAAATTAAAATAATTAAAAATATTGACTCCTACTAGTTTGAAAAAAAATATTGACGTCCGAAATAATCGCACGAAAAAAACGCTCCCTTCAGTCATGATTCTGTGAAACTCTGTTTTCATTTAGGTTGAGTTTTGAGTCCTGTTTCGCTTTGTGAGTTTTATGATCTATTTTTAAAGATATTTCCCCTGGTGCTGAAAATCTCAGTGGGAAGAAGAAACACTGACAGTATTCACTTTTCTTGGCTTAGAATTGATCTTCAACTTCACCTGCTTGCGTATCATAAAAATGTAAATGCCTTCAAATTGTCCTGAAAAGTGAATAAGTCACATTTTAAAAACTCGGAGCCAAATGTCACTAAACTGTGGTAATGTTTGCTGAAAGACTGCAGGTATGTGAGTCTTCAGAGATCATGGCTCATGTTTTAGGAGGAGCTGGTCGTTGTTTACCGTGAGTTGGCTCAGATCAGTTGAATTCAGTGATGGGTACATGTTCAGTGATCATCAGCATGGCATGTTAATCTCACAGACAGGTTTTTTGTCAGGTTGTGTTGCCTTGTGGAAAAAAGGTACCATGGTTTAAGGTGATAGTAGAGGCTTGATTCCTCAAAAACCTCTGAGTTTTGTGAACGTTGAATTCAGAGAGCTAACACATGCGCATATCATTAAATCCTCAAGCATGACTGTTCTTACCTGTGCAGACACTCCAGGGGTTTTTTGTTCTTTCCTCCCACCTTGTATCCAAAAGACTCTCTATCCTCATCAGGAACACTACACCCTGTCTTATGTTCAGTCTATTAGGGCTGTCAGTCTTCCTCTTCATTCCCAATTTCATTCCTTAATATCACTTAAAAATGTTGAATTATATTCTAATATTCAATGTCATTTCTGATTGAAAAATTAACTGTTATAACTGCGCACCATGTACGCAGGCTTATGCATTATCAATGCCACAATTGAGTGGTTGTTACAAGTTGCGTCCACTAGAGGGCATACCAACATTCAGCAACTAATAAACATTTGAAATAAATAAAGTTATTACCAAATGAGTAACTTTTCAAACTCTATCTTCAATGAGAATCTACAAATATTAATACAGGACTGATTTTTCCTGACAGCCTTTTTCAGTGAACTCTGAACTCTGCATTTAAGTTGTTCACATCCCATGGCTACATATTTAAGGGGAGGGTTTAAACAAGTGTTTAACCAGTCGGTCAATAACACAAAGTTATCAAAGTTATAACACAGGGTCATCAGGGTTTTCTCTAGAGTCTATTGGGGAGCATTTCTTATCCATGATGTTCCAAGCTGTGAAGAAAACTCCAATCTTTCCCTTTTCTACCACAACAGTGGGTTGTTGTCAGAAAGTCGAGGGCTCTCCATTTTGTGCGTGTCTCCTAAAATTAACAGCTTTGTTGACAAACGCAGGCACCTTGAATGTCCATCACCAGATTAACAGAGCAGAAAGGAGAGATTAGCCATCGCTCTATAACTCTGAACGTGGACATGTCGGGTTTTTTGGTCTTACTTTTGTACAGTGGAGACACATTGTCCATCTAGATGCACAGTAATTTACAGAAGGCTGACCTTTAGTGATGTGAAAACTGGTCTCAGGTCAGTTAGACTTTGTTGGCACTACATTGTTTACATGCCATCCCTGATTTCTATTATTTTCAGTGAAAAACAATTTGATTTACTGGATGATTCACCCTCCATCACTTAATGACAGCTAAAGTCAGAGACCAGCGGGGTGACAAAGTAGAGCATGTTCTTCTCTCGTATGAACACAGTCGGTTTTGGTCTTTTCTTTGAGGTTTGTTGACTTGAAGCACATCCTTGAGTTTTTTTTTTTCTTTCTTTGCACCCCTATATGAGTCCGTAATATCAGTGTCTGATGAGTCAAACTATGCATGCCAGTTTCTTGATTATCACTCAGGAGGAAAAAATTACACTTTTTAAATAAAGTGCAGGTTTTACATTTCACCGCAGGTTTTAACATTTGCCTCCCTGCATGACACGTCTGAGAAAAATCTCCCTCCACCCCCGCCTCTGTTCAGTTTGAAGCAGGAAAGATAAATGCTCTGGCTTTTTTAAATCTTTTTTTTATACTAATGGTGAAAGTCTCCTAATCATCCCCCAGTGTCTTTGCAGGCTCATTTGCATGTGGTTAATTAGTGTGTGAAGGAGCTGTCTGTGGTCTGCTGGCAGGAACCCGGACTCCAGCGTCTTGCACAACCTCCGGGATGTTTTGGAGATCGAATTCCCGTCACCTGCCACCCACGAAAAATCTGTATGTCACACAGTTGCCCCCTTTCCATTTCAAACATGTCCGTTCCCATCACGGTTACCTCGAGGAGCTGTGTGTGTGTTTACATCTATGCATGCATGCTCCTGTCGCTGTGTGTTTGAGCTTCAAGTTATAAGGGGGCGGACATACGCTACTGCCTATTTTTCTGTCTATTTCCATATTTCTCTCTCCCTCTCTCTCTCTCTCTGTGTGTTTTGTTTTTTCCATGAGGTGGGCACAAATTCTTCTTCTTCTTTAATTGGGTTGTTTACAGAAAAGATCATTAGAATAACAAAGATGGCAGAATTCTCTGCTCTATCAGATCGCTTTAATCACGCAAAACCATTTATCTCTCTTTTTTCAAACACTCGTTCTTTTCCCCTCCCCTCTCTGCAGATGGGTTAAAAGGGCGTCGTGTTTATCCGCTGTCGCTGTGGTGATTAATGCCTCAGCTTCATTAACATTCAGAGGAGTGTAAAAAAGTTGAGTTGACCAGATGTTGATTTTTTTTTCCTCTTTTTTTTTTTTTTTTTTTTTTACCTGCCACCTTCTCTCTTAGCCCCAGAAAACAGGAGCTTCTCATTACACCGAAATGCAAACGAGAGCAGAGAGGAGTGTGTGATAAGCCTGTGATGGTGGGACTGTAGAGAGAAGGAAAGCTCAGGAGTGATGTTACAAGTGCAGCCCTGAATTAAGACCGATTAGCACCTAGTCATGATAGGAAATGCTTGAATCCTAAAGGGGAATTCTGCTGTTTTTTAACCCATGTTTTGTCATCCTTCTTTTTCTTATTTCTCAAAATTTGGGGGTCTGTGTAACTCAGGGTGTGTGTCCACTAGCTGTGCCTTTTATGATGGTACCACTTACTTTCTAAACAAAACCACCGTGGTTTGAGCGTTGAGCCTCATAAATGCAAAAAAACACCATTACCATCAGCTCCCTTAGCAAAAAGTGGTATACTTAGAGCTCTAGAGCTTTTTCTGGAATTTTTTTGGCTGAGGTGCAAGTTTTCTGAAAATTTCTGAATTTGTGACTTTTGTTCACATGTCTCTGTGTGTGCAGAGCTTCAGTGTCGAGTGTGGGATCTGTTACTCTTATCGTCTTGAAGCTGCTATCCCTGATCAGGTGTGTAATGATCCTCGCTGTGGCCAGCCTTTCCACCAGGTCTGCCTTTATGAGGTAAGTAGTACACAGACAAACAGAAACATAGGACCTTAAGGCAGCATCTACTTTTATTTTTACAACTGGTTGATCTGATTGTTTATTTTCATCACACATTGTTATTCAGCTGTCAGCATGTATTAAAACTGTCAACCACAAACGCAGAGAACCTGAGTTGATTTATGAAAATTGCTTGTTTACAGAACAAAAACTCAGAAAATCATTAATTAACCATCATAAAAGACCAGAATGACAGGTACATGTTTACACATGTGACACTGGGAACTGTATAGTTTTGACATTTTGCTCAAAAGATAAAAATAAAAGAAGTTGAAAGTTGTGACAAATTACTCTCAGTCAGTCATTACAGTAACTTTCTTTCAGCTCAAATCAACAAATCAACATGAACTGGATGCACTGATATGAAGGATGTAACTTATTTAGTCCATCTAAAATAGAGTTATGACAGATCCTAAGCAGTTGTTAAAGTGAGAAAACTAAATCCACTATTACAGTTTTGAGGTGTCGAACTAAATTAAAAAAAAAAAAAAACTTTTGAGAACTTTATTTTAAACATCCCTTGATTTGGTTATCTTCTGTTGTGGAGTGTGGTCTTTATTTAAAATCCCAGCACACAGACTGAAATGAAAGTTTGCTTTATTTTACCCTGTAGAGGTAGAGTTTCCAGTGAACACTGACGTTGGAGTCATCCAGTAGTAACAGTTATGATTGGACAGCCCCTTAAGAAAAATCATTACAATTCTGAGGGGTAATAAAATACTCAGTCTCCATCTGTGCAAATGCAAACTACAGTAGGGATATTATTAGTAACATTAGTTTGAAAGTCATTTTAACCGAAGTGTCTTGAAAGTAGAAGACACCTTTGACATGCCAAGGACACTCATGCTGCTTAAACATATAGTACAAAATAACATCTTTAAAATAACCTGCAGACAACAGTATTTATCTATTTTTAGACTGAAGGGCTAAGATGTGACCTTTCACAGAAATGTTTAAAAAAGAAACTTTGAAACAGAATAAAAAAATTTAAAAAGCATTAAAAAACTTTTTTTTTTATTTTTATTTTTTTTTTAAACCAGGCAAAATCTACTCAACCACCTAATAAAAGTCTCAGGGCTTCTTTAGCACAGTCATGTTAGTGTTCAAATCTCAGCCCTCTTTACACCTCACTAAAGTACAGTACGCAATACAAGGTCATCAGGCTGATTTGAGGCCAGATACCAGATTTTTTAACCAAAGTCATCAAAGACTTGGTCTCTGACACTGCCAAATTTTGCTTTGGTGTGGGTCATGTTGAGAGTGATTTTTACTCCACTCAATCTGCTTCAAAGACTTCGAGGCCGCACCAATTTGAAATCCTAAATTGAAATCATGTTCGATGTTTGCTATTAGAAATCCTGCAGTGTGGGAGGAACACTGTGGACAGGCAAGCATGCACTCTGTGGATTATCACATGAAACAAATGATAATCACTGAGGAAGCAAGCTGACAAAGACAAAAGCACATCAAATGTTGCCATGGAGACGTCAACGGATGTCGGGCACAAAGTTAGGCTGATGTTAGAGATGGCGGACTAACATGATGTTTTGTGGCAACGACACAAGTCCTCTGAATGATGTCACAGTCGAAAGCTAAACATGTCCCTGACAGCAAAGCAGCTAGTAACATCTAGCTATAATGTTTGTTTTCCCCAAAGTTGATTAAAGAACACAAAAAATTGAAATTTTAAGATTTGAGGGATCAGGACTTCGTTTTGTTTTGTTTTTGACTGGTGGAATCTGTTGTATTTGCTTAATCATCACACTCCACACACTTCAGAAATAAAACTTTGAGTGTAAGTAATAGTCAGGGTTTGTTTGGTTGGTGTGCTGCTGTTTTATGTTGCACAGGAAGCAGCATAACTTCTTTATGGACTCCGTATTGAGTAAAAACTACACATACTGAGATCTCCTTGAACAAGTGGCAGGAGCAGACTCTAAAGTTCCACATAAAAGCCCTGAAAAATGCTTTAAAGTACCAGATAGTCTTGTACATTCTTTTAAAGCATTCAGTAATAAGTGAGCATTGAAATCAGCATTATCACTTGACACTGACACATCAGATCCAAGGTAATGATTTGACAAAGCGGTCTTTTTCTTCCCTCAGTGGCTGCGAGCGCTGCCCTCCAGCAGGCAGAGCTTCAACATTGTTTTTGGAGAGTGTCCTTACTGCAGCAAGGTATGTGTTAGTCTGAATGTTCGAAATCTGAAGAGTCAAAAGATGTTCACATATCTTAATTAGCGCGGCTCTATACATCACACAGCCTTCCCTCTGATGAAAGGCTGCAGAGTGTGCTCACCACAATGTGCCGCATTCATCGCAGGGAAAAGTTTGTGTTGGTGTATTTCTTTCAATACTGCATCCCATTGAGCTAATTCAAAGTCATTCATTCGCAGTCTAGTTGGAATTAAGAGCTCCATACGGTGTCGTTGGCATCAAGGTTGGGGTTCATTTCCAGCCTGCAGCCCCCATCACTCCCCACTTTCACTCAGTTTTAAGCTTTACCCGCTTTTCCTCTCGAATTGAAATAACTTTAAAAAAAAAAAGAGCCCACTTCATTTTTTCACACAGTCACCCTCAATACCAGATTCTGATTATTTAAAGGAATGTTCGGGTATTTATGAACCTGGGTTGAAGTGTTTTATTGAGATATTTTTGGTTCTTAATTTCTGATTGGTAAGAGAAAAATAGAGAATTTGTCCCCCTAAGCTCAAAGAAGTCTGACAGCAATAATTGGAGTGAACCTTTTTAAGGAACAACCTGCCAAACTTGACTCTGATTCACAGACACACAGTGAGAAAGTGCGTCAATGCTAGCCCGCCTCACCCTGGTGACAAACTCTTTCAGCAGTTTTTTCAGACAGACGTACTATGAAATGCGCCATAGCTCTACATAAGTTACTTACAAAATACATATATGCACAAGTCAGTAGTTTTCATTGTTGTTCACTGTTAGTTTCCTTCTATAAAGACAGCGAGTCCTCTTCAACGCCTCTGTGTGATGTGAAATGTCAAAAAAAAAACTGGTTGGTCACAGGCCACAACATTTCATAGTAAAGAAGAAGATGAAGCCTTCAGGTGCAGCTAAAAAATTGAAATATTATGGGAAAAGTTCAATATATTTCATCAGTTAAAAAACACATTAAAACTTTGATTTATTCTGGACTCATCACATATAAACTCAAAAGTGTTTTTGGATTTCAATTTTGATAATTATGGCTCAGAGCTTAAAAAAAAAAATTACACCTTACAAAATAAAAATGTTTCATTTGAGTTCATCACTATTCAAACTAAATAAACACCACGTATTTCTAAGACTTTAGAACTTCTGACAACCGCTCTCAAAGCAAACTACAGCAGAGCGACAGGCTGATCAGCCACACACCGCTGAAGCGGTAATTTGTTGTGAAGAAGCTGCAATCAACTATTGAGAGTACAAATTAACCCAATTTTTCAGAAACTAACATTTATGTATTCTGAATCCTTTTTTTTATTGACTTTAGAAGGAAAACAGAATCTTTCATGACGAGTGATTTCTGGTTTTATGGGCTATGAGCCAAAATCATCAAAATTATAAAAAAAAAAGACAGCTTGAAATATTTCAATTTAATTCACTGAATAAAAAATATAAGTGTTTATCTCTGTGAAATTACTTATAAAAATAAAAGAAGTTTCCCATAATATTCCAACTTTTTTTGCACTTTTCCAACTCTAGTTACAGGAGTTAGGATCATGTGATCCTCGTCAGGATCTCAAGAAAACAACAACCTGATCAGTTTCATTTTATTCAAACAGACTAAAAGTGGGATATATGTTTTTTTTTCTTTTTTAGCCCATCACCGTCAAAATGTCAGCCCAGAAGTCCTGAGACGCCACTTCGCCTCCACCTGTCAGATTCTTCTCTAAAAGTGACTGAATGCACTCAGGCAAACTCCAAGAAGAGCGCCCAGAATGAGGACAAAGCCCACATTTACAAACCATGTCAGCAGCCCCCTCCTCTGTGAGGGACCTGCTTCCTGTTTCGGACTCTTGAGTACAGACTCTTTACGTTCACCACAACAGTCCCTGTAGCCGCTGTTTGACCACTGTTGATACATGCCACCTTCTCCGTGGTACACCAGCCTCTCATTTGACGTTTCCCAGGGGTCTGTGCGTGTTTCCTCCGTGTCAAAGTTAGCTGCAAGGTGATTTCTCCTCTGTGGGTGAACTTGTCCTTCCAGTGGCCTTCCGGTTATGGTTAAGTCTTCTGCTACCCAGTACCTCCGTTCCAATTCATGTCTCTGTTAAAAAGGGTAGTTTATGTGTTTGCTTTTTAGTAAGTATCACTAACAAAAACATTCTTCTAACCAAAATGTGAATATGTGTCAAAAAGTAAATATAAATAAAATTGTGTGAACGCGTGAACTAATACATTCGTGTTTTTCAAAGCTTAAAAAGTCGAGTCACATCAAAAGCCTTCTGGTTTTTCCACGTCTCTATCAAAGCAGAATAACTAAAATATACTCCAATTGTTCTTTTCAAAAATTTCAAACAATTTCAACCCAAGAAAAAAAGAGTAAAAGCAGCTTTATGCAGCTCTGGTATCTTCACACCTGTTTCGTCTGATTTCTGGGGCCGATCGGAGGCCCTCTCAGGTAGCATGCAGGAATGGGTGTGGGTCTGGCCCTCTCCTCCTCTTCATCATCTTCATCATCTCCTTCACTTTCACTGTCATCTTCATATCTCGTTGGAGGAACTCTCTTCGGCCTCAGTGATCTGCCAGCAGCAGATGAAGCTCCATCTTCCCTCTGTGAACAAAAACAACAGCTTGTAATTCTTTCATACATGTTCGGCGGCGTAACATTATAAGCATATGCAAGATGACGCCACTGTTCCCCACACCTAACACTCAATATTTTTGTATCTGTATTCAATAGCTCTCCAAAATGGATCAAACTAGTGGATGATCGCCTCTTACTCTCTTTCCTTTGACTCTGTTGAAAGTCACACGTGAAACTTGCTTTGCAGGTAAATCAGAGAGCAGCATCCTCCAGTGCATCACTCCTGTTGTCTGACTTTCTGCATTTCCAGCCGCCATTGTTTCAGCAGTGTTGTGCAGCTGTTCACTGTGCTCAGTCAGAGTTTGAAGTTGTTGAAACAGGCTACTTCATTAACTAGTCTACACACAGAAATCACATACTGTGCGAGCAGGAACATAAAAAAATCATGTTTAAAGGTGAGTTAGTGTTACTTTGATGGTTTTGTATGTTGTATTTTAAAACAGCTGATGAAGAAGGAAGTGAAAAGATGAAACGAAAGGAGGTGAGGTGGACAAGAGGCTATGTGCATTGAGAGGACTGAGTGTGTGTGAGAATCTATTTTTGTAACCTTACATTTAAGAAGTAATATTTAACATAGAGGACCCCAGACCTCCTGCCCCCATAGATTCAAAGTCATCGGGTTGAATCGCTTCACCAAAAACGATCAGATGTGGAAACTCAATCAGCACCCTGGTATCGGGTCACAGAAATTGTGTGCAAACAACAAATTAAAAACACAAAACACAATTCTTATTCACCATTCAACACACTGTTTTTTTTTTTTTGTTTGTTTTTTAAAGTAAAGCCTGGCCTAATTTTTGATTGTGAAACAGGTGAGCAGCTGACGTGTTTTGTGTTGAGTAGATATTATAGTTGAATGGATGAACCATTTAAAACAATCTAAACAATGAAACTGATTCTTTCAGTGCAGCTTCATTTCATCGTTTAAATGCAACATTAAAATATCTTTTTTTTTTCTTAATTATATCATCTTTTTGAACAATTAAATAGCGCCAATTAAATTTTCTAAAAGTGGATTTATCAACTGAGTTCTTTGCCTCAGAGAAATCAAAGCTTTGTTGCAGCCTTTGCTACAAAAGACACGCACAAACAAAGGGCTAATCCGAACCTAATCATACTTGATTAGCACAAGGTCATTAGCAGTGCTGCAAGCAGGTGGCTATCTCCGTATCAAAGAACATGCGCAGCCTGCTAACAAACACAAACAGCGACTTACTCCTGCCAATACAAAAGGGACTGAGTGTAGAAATGGGAATGTTCAGTCAGGCCTGTTAGTGAAATGATGGTGGCCTTTAGAGGACAAAAAGCTCCTGTGATGCATAAATGGTATGACCCTCTTTACCATAAAAACTGTATACATACAATCAATTTGGGTGCAAAAAACACTTGGTTTTTTCTTGGTCTTTGCAGTTGTGAATTTGCACAGGGACTGGCTCTCATGCAGGTGTAAAAGGCTCCTTCTTAAATAAAAACAAAATGATATTTATATTCAGGTGATTTTACACTGATTTAAACATACAGATACTCCATTTCTACAGAGTCGGCTTTGTTTAATGCCGCAAAATACTACACACTGTACCTTTAATATAACAGGATGTGTCAAAAAAACACATATAAATGCATATGTCCAACAAGCAGATTTGTACTCTGATTCAAAATGCGTTCCAGGTCACCTCTTTGAGTTGTAGATAAATTACTTGAATATTTCACTGAGGTAGTATCAAAGAAAAACCCAGCCACTCTTGAGAATGCCATCTTGTTTCCAGAATTCTGTGCTGAGAGAGCTCCCAACACCACACACCAACAAGTCCCAGGAAACAACCAGAGCCTCAGCTAATTCATTTTAAGTGGCTTTAACACTTGAAGAAACACCTGAGAAGGCTGTTACCTGTGGAGCTTGAGGTTTTGAGGGTGGAGGTCCTCTTAGATAGCGGGCAGGCACTGGTTTAGACTTTCTCTTCTCCTCTTCTTTGTCCTCGTCTTCCTCTGTGGCTGCAGTCTTGGCTTTAGAGGGTCTTCTGGCTCGTCCTGCTTTCTGTTTGAACAGTGACAAATATTATGGTCTGGAGATTTCTATGTCCATGCAAGTGCTCAAGCTTAGTTTTCGTCTTCATTTAAAAGGAAAAATGGCCAGTTTCTCTTAAAAAAAAACTTGCCGCAACACAACTTTAATTGTCCCTCATACAATCACTTATTTAAACAACTGTTGTGGCTCTGGGAACGTGCCTGTTGAATGGCCTTTACTCCCCTCGCTAAACCGCCAGTAAATGGCCACTTCTGTTTAACTAGGGATCAAACTGGCCAGCACTTTAGCATGGAAATGAAATGACACAAGGAGAGGAGAGGAAATCAGGAACATAATTGGAGACGCCCTGCACTGTGGAAAGTGTGTGTCATCAACTTCTTCAAATTGGGCCATTGAGAGGGCGCTCGCTGGGCCCGAGGGGTCAAGAAGTGATTGTGGCAAAATTGAGGAGAATCACAGTCCTCTTCCAGCTTAAGACCTGCCCACCCCCCGTTAACACACTCATTGTGGGGTGCTGGTGGGGGGGTAGGGGCGGATTAACCCTCCCCTTCACCGTTGTCACGTTTCTCCACTCTGAGGTCAAGAGACTCAACAGAGGAAACGGCAATCATTTTGACCAGCGCTCAAGTTGTTGAATGCTCATTGAATTAAGAAGAAAACCATGTTGAAAAATTCCCCTCTGGCTCTTTCTGTTTATATCCAACATTTAGTGGTTAGGCCTGTAGCCTCATGTGGAGCAGGTCGTGTCTGGAAAGCAGTCAAAGACACAGAAGAAGAATCATCTTGTACATTCATGTTTGAGTCAAATGTCAACAGATGGAAATGGATGAAGATATTTTATTCTTGCGGTCGGAGATTTACACATCAGACATTAGTTTGAAGGCAGCTGAGTCTCACTTTAACTCATGACTTTGTAATACTCTCATCAGTCAATCCAGACCAGGTAACCCAGGAAGATCTTTTTATTTTATTTTATATATATATATTTTGTTGCATGTATCAATACTGTTTGACTTTAATTTGCACTGCAGCAGGGATAAAAATTCTCATATTACTGCAACACTTTGTGGGGCCATCTGTGTGGCATAGCATGAGATGCACAGATAATCCCCTGCCATGTTTTTTTCCAGGTTTCCCTAACAGCTCATTTCAAGACATGGCCAGAATCAGATGTAAAAGGAGTTTTGGGGCCAAAGCCCCTCTGACAAGTGTCCCACATTGACATAATAAATAGACAGAGATGGGAATCAAAAACCATTTCCAGATCAGAAGCAGCAATTAGTGTGACTTCGTAGTTAGCTGACTCTGCTAATGAAAGGCTGCCATTTTTTACATTCTGTCAACCAATCAGAGGCTGTATCTACAATCAGCTGATCTTCAAGGGCCCAAACGTAAGCCCAGCTTCCCCTCTCAGCAGAGTGGAGGTAAGCTCATAATGAAAACCTACACAGGCCACCGATTTCTCATAGATAATCCACAGAAATTAATGGGGAGTTGATAAAGAACTGGAGTGATAAGCAGAATCAATAACAGCATCGTATTAATAAACCTTATCAGTTTTGATCCCTTATGAAAGGTGAAAATGATTTTAAAAGGTCTTTATTTATGTCAGCTGTTGAAGAAGTCTGTGATTAAACCTCGCTGTGTATCCATCTTGGTGATGTGGTAAAACCAGGCGGTGTGACAGTGTCATTGTCAACACATCTAAGAGAGTGAATACTGACTGATTTTTTTGAGCAAGTGTAAACTGTAAATGCAAATATGGAGAATGTCAAAATAGGCTGGATTTAGGAAAATACATGACACAATCGAAGTGTCCCATGGCTTCTCAGGAGAGAAGCCAGGGTTGATTCAAAGTTGTCATGTTCTTACCTTTTCTTTCATGGGGGGATCTTGTTGATTGGAGGTGGACTCTCCTGCTGTTCCTTTAGGCATAGAGAAGTCTAGTTTTCCTTTAACAACACCGCCCAACAGTTTTCTGAGATTCTGGTAGTCTGGCTTTTGTTGGTAGTCCAGAGTCTTAACACAACAGAGGAATGCAGCCACCTCATCTAAAGAGAGAAACACAGAGGACATCCAACAGGTCACAATGTTCAAATCATGAATCTGTAACAATAATTCATCAACCGCATGAAACACAGTCATCTGCTGCTTGAGTGTTTATCAGACACTGCATTTATTGTACCACCTCAGACGAGCACAGAGCTCAGTTACTCTGCAGCACCCTCAGTTTCAACATTTCTAGCAGACCTGAGTCATGCAGCAGCAAAAGCCGGCTGAACCTGAAGGTCTCACAGTCCAGATAATACACCGCTCGGCAATGTATCTCCCAAAGAGGGCAGATTAGGCACAGCTGAGGATATGCATTTTGTGTGTGTGTTGAAGTGTCATACACAGTCAGCCGCTATGCATCACACACTGGCCAGACGACGCATATGACACATACTGCGCTGAAACTTGTATCTCTCTCACACACACTCAGTTGTGATGCATTCTCCGGCTCTTATCTGAGGCAGGCAGCCGGTTCTTGTCAGCGGAGGAGCACCCGCTCCCAACTATACATCACACACTAAGCCCTCACACAGGAGTGACCTCTCCATAAAGAGGAGAGATAAAACACGACAAAGTTTGAAAGGCATGTCGACGGGACAGCTGTTTAACTCCTACAAAGTTATTCAAGAGCTTCAGGTGACCGAGGGAGAGATGCAGCGTCAAACAGCAGGTGAAGAGCTTTGGTTCTGTCAACTTTTAACAAAGGACATCAACTGGGATTTCATTTATGCTGAGGGTTTTGGTTGTTGGAGGTGTGGCTGGTCTGGTCGACAGGTGGGTACATCGTAGGTGTTTGCTTGATGGCATGGCCTCAACTTCACTTCTCTACTGGCTTCTAAATTAGATTTCGTTAGCTAGGTGCAGCTAAGAATGGCGACTGTATTTAACCAGAAACCAATGGGTGACATCCCTCTGGCAACACCTGTCCCCACTAGAGCTGATTTTAATGCTGCGTTCCAGTTGTACTCTGAAGTCGGGATTTCCGAGCTCCGAGTCGGAAACTCATCTGGAACCGACTCCGACTCCGAAAGTTGGGCGGTCCTCGCCAACCCTGACTTGACAACGTCATAATTCAAGATGGCAGCGCAGTGCATCAACAGTAAAGAGTAACAGTGAAAGCTCTTGTAATGGATTGTTTATTAGCCCTTCTGTTTTGTTTTTGTGAAATCAAATAAGTGGTATATGTCGTGCTGCCCAATGTCTAACTGTGAACACAGTGTTATGGTGTTTGTAAGAGTAAAATACTGCGTTATGCATTGTTTACAACTGGTATCGCTAACAACAACTAACACTAGCTAACAACCGCTAACTGTAGGCGTCCATCTTGGTTTTCCGACTTGTTAACTGGAACACTGTCAACTCAGGTGTAACGTCATTCCCAGCTCTGAATTCCGAGGTAACTGGAATGCGGCATCAATATTTTGTGCATGTGACGATGCAGGAATGGTCGAAAAGACTCAAATAAGCATGCCAGACCAGTAGGTAAAGATAATGTGTAATCAGTCCGTCAAACACAAGCAGCACCTCTAGTCTTAAGAAATGAATCCAGTGCGGTAGTGCTAAAAACTGCAGCTTTCTTACTGCCTGCTTGAGACTAGCTGCAGGCCACTTAGCCAAAACAGACTGTTTTTAAGAGCAAAAATAAACCTATTTACAACCTGGTCCAAAAACTGTTATAGCTCTGTTATAGGAACCATGAATAGCTCAGGGTTCCACTGGTCACACTATTTGTAAAGTGGATGTTTTTTTTTTGTGCTTTGTTTTTGAAGATATCAAAGTTGCGAGACTGGCGATTCAGACTTCACTGACAAGTGGGCACACTGCAGCTATTTACAAGGAGACTAAAGATCCGTCTCTAGCTGGTCAGTCAAAAGTTCGGCTGAGTAAGCATGACCAATATGGAGGTCACTAATAGGCTCCAGAACTCTGCTTCACAAACAAATGGGGGATGTCAGTGATCAGTCCGTTTATTATACAGTCTGTGCTCAAACATCACAGAGGAACATCGTGAGCATGCCTATGGAGGGTAGTCTTGAGTGAGCACCAGTTGTAAACAGCGCTGTGAGCATGACTCAGCATGACTTTAAAAGAAAGTAAGTTCTCAGAGCTGTCTGCATATGTGAGGATGAAAAGAAATGTTGAATACATGCCCATAATTTGCACAGTCAGGTGTAACCTCTTGTCGAGCCTTTCTGCAGCCTCTGGGGCAATAAAACAAGGTTTTTGTTACTCTGTTTCTTCCAATAAGATAACTATCTTCTAAAATCCTGCTTAGCCACTCAAATGGTTTATGCTTGAGCTTAGATTTTCAATTTGTCCTTACACTGTACGCATCCTCGTGAGAAACACTAGGAAGACATTCCTGTTTTTTTTTTGTTTATTTTGAGAGGGTTGTTTCTTACTGAGTGCAAGAAGGGCAGAACCGTGAATGCAGGAAATGTGTACTAGGAAGAATACAGTTTGAGAACAAGCAAACCAAGTGGGGACTGATTATGTGCAAGAGCAGGAATAAGATTAATTATACCTTTTTTTATGATCCAAAGTCTTTTTAATAATATTTTTTTCGATGTGAACAGGGATGCAAGTGTACAGCAGTTATTACCCATGTACCCTGTGCACATCAGCCTGGTATCTAAATCAGTTTTGGCTGTGGCCATTCCTCTGGCTCTCCATTAAAAGAGCAGAAGATTAGACACAGAGATTCTTCCCTTCTCCACAGGCTTGTCTCATTTCAAATTTTTTTTTTAAGATTAACCTGAGAAGTGTAAGAAGTGTAAATGACATCCTGTAACCCAAAGAAGCCCTGTGGTCCTTGGCTTACCTGTGCTGGCTCCGCTTACTGACAGCTGCTGGACTGAGACTGGCAGATTATCCATCAGCCTGTAAGGGAGAGGAGAGGAGATAAAGCAGTGATCAAGAGAGGACAGGATCATTATGAAAGACGGAGTTCAGGGGTTGCAATAGGGTGAGAAATGCAGAAGAAGAACAAGCTGGAACAAGAATTTTTTTACTCCTACAGTGAGTGTGAATAAAATGAGTAAACAGCATTTGGTAAAAGTCTGTACTTCAATGTGATCAGCTTATAAAAGATCTTTTCAGTCACGTCCCACTAAGCATTTTTTTTTGGTCTGAAAGAGGTCTAATAGACGTCTAAATGTAGCATAGATGACTGGTCTAAAATCAGGCTACCACAGGTCTAAAAATGAACGTTTTTTTAGTCGTCTAAATTTAGACCAAGTTTAGACTAAATCTAAATCTGGGCTATACCTATACTACACTGTACATTGCTCAAAGGCTATCATAATTATTTTGATTAAATACTTAGCGATCAGTTATGCAACTCACAGTTGCCTTTTTAAATAAATAGTTATCGAATAATGGATTAAAGTGCAACATCTAAATTCCGTCTAAAAATGTACAAAAAATTTGCTCCAAAAAAAGAAAAACTAGACGTCTAATAGCTGTCTATTGCACAATGATATGACAGATTTACCTTTTGGCATACTCTGCTTCATCTATTGACTTTGAACACGATCACGAGTGGCTATCACTGTTTTGTGACTGCAACAGAGTTACTCAGTAGGAAAATGTGATGTGATCAAGTGTTGGAAATGAAAAAACCTTGTTGACATCGTATCCTATTTGACTCTTTATCAGTGTCATTGCTGCCCCATGAGAGAGGTAGTACAGTGCTGAGAAACAAAACACAGAGCGACAAAGCAAAAAGTAACTAAGCACAGAGCAATGTTGCACAAAGCGTAAAGAAGAAGCGCGGGTTACTGCAGTGAAGAGCAACAAAACTGAACAATGTGAAACACAAAGCAATGAGAAGCTGAGCAACAAAGCACAGAGCAACATAGTGCGTAACAGCCAAGCAGAGAGCAATGCAGAGCTGAGCAGAGAAATGCAGAGCAACAAAGCAAAATAGTAATGAAGCGCAGATCAATGCAGCACTGAGTAACAAAAAACAGCTCTTAAATACAGAGTGATGAAATGCAGCGCAATGACGGACAGTGCAACATAGCTCAGACCAACAAAGTGAAGAGCAACAGACAGCTGGGCATTGTATCCCAAAGCAACAAAGCGCAGCTGATGGACGAATGCTATCCCAGATAAGCATTGAGGTTGTAGAATAGAAATCATGTTATGGAGGTCACTGTGATGTTTAAACTATGAAAGGTCCAGTTATGAAGATCCAAGAAGACTGAGACGGCAAGGATAGAAGACGCTGAACCCCCACAATCGAGGACCACTTTAACTCAATGCATTGTTTGTGCTCCATTCTTGCAAGAATCGAATGCACTTTCATTACATGTCCCGAACTCTTGTGTCTGCCTCTTGTCATTTAAGAAAGATTTTTGAATAGCAGCGCAATATGGCACAGAGCAACAAAGTACCCAGCAATGAAATACAGTGAAAAGCAATGCACTACTCTGGCCCTGACTCCCCTGTTTCTATTGTATAGCTCTTGTTTCTATTTTCTCTGTCTAGTTGCTTGTGTAGAGATGGACAAGGAGCTGTTCCATCACGAGGATCAGATGAGGATTACTTGTATTGTACCTCCTCGTTTCACAACAGAAACCTTGTTTAAGTGGCAGTTAGCTGGAGGGAGATTGCTTAGGCGATGGGCAAGTCCACTACTTCAAACTTTCTTACTTCTCTTTGGCTTTCTTACACAACAAAGCTGTTAGCTTGTTTCTGCAAAATGGAGACAGTGGACTAAGGAGTTACCTAAACTTGTGTTTACACCGAAGGTCATCCTGTTTATAAAGTGCAAACAGGAGTAGCAGATGTGTATATCTGACTGAGGCAGTAAAGACAACAAGTGGCACCATGCAAAGTGATGTAATGTGATATCTGCTGTAAGCATGTGATTAACATGAGACTATGGGACACTCTCAGAGTGTGACTGTCTGATCATTGCGTTCAGTTCAGGTGAAATCCTCGTACCTGGCTTTGGCGTCCTGGACCTGTGCTGGGTTCTTTAACACATTATCCCATGGCAGCGATCCACACAACCAGTGAAGAAGACAAAAACCTAAAATCTGGAGGTCACCACGTCTGGATGGAGCTACAAAAGACAGAGAGATGAGATGGTCAGAAACAAACGAACAACAGAAACAAGTCCTTGTTGTTTTTATCAATTTATTTTTTGATCATCTGACTCCCTCACGTCGCACTTTGTGAGAGCCTTGATCTTTTTTTGTCAAAATATTTGCTTTTTTTCTTCCTTGAGAGAGGTTTAATATTTGTCAAAGCAAAAGAAAAAGCACGAAAAGGCTTATCTTTTTTTTTTAAGTAGGAAATATGTCAAAAAAAATAAATAAATAAAAATTGGAAAGGCTTAACAGAGACATACTAGAAAGCTCTGTTAATGGGACAGTCTTGTACAACCTACAGGATACTGATTCATGGTAAAAGATTTCAGCTTCCTATATGTCTGTCTTTTTCACATTTGTCTTCACTGCACTGTATTTTACCTGAACCATAATTAGTGAAAGGAAACAGAGAAAAAGAAGAAAAAATCTTGTTTTTCTTCCCTGACACTGACAGGTTTAAAAATACTTGAAGAATCACACATTTCACAAGTAAACAATACTGCACGGCTGACCTTGTATGAATTAGATAAACACTGACAGTGTTCTCCAGTGGTTGGAAACTATTGAGTTTTATGTGTACACTTGAAAGATAAAGAAAACTACAGGTTTTTGTCTTTTAAAGGGTGCAGGTAAAAGTAGCTGTAAGATTTTTTTTTTTAAAGGGGTGGTATTGTGCTTTTTCACATTTACAACAAAAACTATAATGACCATACATTGTTGGCTTTTATTGGTCTGAAAATCATGTAAAGATATTAAAGAGGTATCAGAGAGGAAGTATAGAGTCTGAAAAAAACGCATAATACTCTCTCTTTAACAAGTACAGATAAAGTAGTATTTATCATGTTCACCGTATGTAAGCATGCCAATATCAACTAAAACTCTGATTTTTCAACAAGAATTTAAAAGTTTCCAAATAACCAGCTCTGCTCAGCGCAAAAGACCCAAGTAAAACGAAGAGGTACTAGCATAGTATGTCCAAATCTTCCATCTAAGTATCAGGCTTACTGACATCAAGAAAAATGTAGTGTTTGACATAAGCACATGGTTTTTCAACAATGTAAAAGACAGGAAATTACAGATAAAAGAGGAAAACCTACATTAAAGCTGGGACATTGAGGTTTTAAAGGGTAACATGCTATTTCAATTTATTAATTAATTAGGATAAGATAAAGACTTTCGAAGGATTGTGCATTGGGACTGTTATATTTAAATAAACCCATTTCTCAAAGAATATCTACCATTTTTTAATTTTCACTGACTCATCACCTGCCCGTTTCAAATTCTTGACCCTGATTGGTGAAAGCCCTGTAACTGCAGTTACCTCTAAATAGCAAGAGTGGGATCAGGAACAACTTTAACACATTAAATCAAATTAATCCAAGGAAAGGACTTCTGCACATTTAAAAGTCTATAATTTTATCTCTTCCTGTTGACAATGTGGCAAAAATGTAAGGTCAAAAGAGCATCTGATCTGACATCTTTAATATTACTCTCAATTCATTTGGAGCAAACACTTTGTCTCTGTGTATCTTAGCTGGAACAAGAAGAAACAAGAAGAGCAAGAAGAAACAGCTCCAAGACAATCAAGGGATTTCAAAACAGAAGGAGCTGAATGAAACAGACGTCTGCTGAATTGAAGAAAATAGACACAAAGCAAACATAAACCTCAACACGGTGTAAGATGGATTTTGGCAAAGTTACAGGACTGGTTAAGTGAGAAAATGCACCAACAGAGGACAGGTCCTGCTGTTATTTTCTGCAGTTTTGAGAATGCTATGTTGATTTGACAGTTAATGAAATTGGTATTGTATTACTCTGGTTTACAGCTGTACAAATGTGTATGAAACACAAAGCTGTTACAAATCATAAAAAGAACGTTTCAGGAATTGCAAGAAAACTTACATGACAGTGTGGCTCACCACATTTTCAGTTTTCTTCAAACACAAATTCAGAGTGTGTTTGCATCTCATTGAGAGTGTGTTTGATTGCAGGGTCTACATTAATGTGTGAGGTCTATCAATACAAGTCGACCGAGTCCATCCAGAAGGGTCGAGCCCGGGGAGTTTTAGAAGCTCAATACTGTAACAGTCACCACACGTCTCCGGAGAAATTACCTATCGACTGGCTCCATCAGAGGGGAGAAATCTCCTCCTTGAGCCACGGCATGCATTGATCCTCCAGAGCCAACAGGCCGATCTAAAGAGGAAGCATGGCCGCAGCCACACAGGACAAGATTACATGGAATGGATGGGCTGTAATCTGATTACAAGTTGACAGAATTTGAGTCAATAAAATATCAGCATCAAACCAGAAGAGAGATCTCAAAACATTAGGGTTTTGTCAAGGAGATTACAAGAGGAAAAAGACGCAACTTAATGTTGAGTGTGAACGAAAAACTTAGGGGTCAGCACGTGAAACTCTGATGATTAGGCCCAGAAGGGAGGATAAACAATCGATGAGGAGTGTTTAAAGAGGCTGATGATACTAAACGAGGAGGGGGTGAAAGGATCGAGACAGCTGCTGTACTTGCATGTTTGAGCTAAAAAAAAAACATAGAAGATATTTTGGGGTTTCAAGTAACTTTTTTGAAACTGAACAAACAGTTTTGAAATGTTAAATATGTGTTCATCACATTGCTGTGTTAAATACTTAACTTCTGATTGGTCATCACAAAGCAACAGTCAGCTATTTCCTGACAGCAGACTGTTGCTATGGAGAAAATATTTGCTGGAGATGTGTTGCCATCTGATCACAGGCTCTGGTGCAATAACTGTGGATCATATCGATCCACAATACTAAGTCTGGTTGATTGATGTTGGTTTGTTTATATTGAGAAAACCAAGAAGAAGTCAAAAAGTACAAAAATATACAGCAGCGGTTGGCCTTGTAGTTTTGAGTATTTGCCCTACAGATACTACGGTCCTATTTGCAGCTTAACTGGCAACTCAACTGCAATACTTTGCCGAATAATTTCCCCCATCGCTTGTTCTCCTGTCTCTCTTCAACATATCTAATGAAGATAAAATACTCAAAATTTAACTTCAAAGACCAAAAAATTGCAATTCATCAGAGAAATGTACAAAATTGAAGATGGTGCATAAAATGAATGAATAAATAAATGAAATAGAATCAAACAGGCTCCAATAAACCTGGAATAAAATCACATTGTTGAATGTAGATTCCCTCCAAAAATGTTGTCTATTGCTCAGCAGCTCTGATAATAAATAAAAGGTGTAAGTTTGCCCTTGTGGGAGTTAAGTATGTAGTCACTCAGCATTACAGTGCAGTATCCTATTGTTGTAAATAATTACACAACTCTTCACTGCTACTGAGAGCCTGTTAAAGGAGAATAAAGATGAAAAATACATGCAATACTGACGCTGGAAAAAAGTGCTGAAACTCCCAGAGCAGCAAAATAGATTAACAATTAAAAAGATCAACAACTACATTAAGCTCTGCTGCCCTCTGCATGTGCTCTGGGCACCTTATCTGAGCTCATGATAGTGTTTGGTGTGTCTGCTCTTCTGTATTTAATGTGTTTCGCCCTCATATGAGAAGAGGCAAAAGACAATGGAGCAGAGAGATGTGCAAATGCACACATACACACGCTTCCTTGCACACACACACACCTAAATAGCTCTCAAAGGGAGATTTCTTGAAAACACACATGTACATACAAACACACACACAGCTCACATGTTCTCTACATGTTTTAGACAGAGAGGTTAGGCAGCAGTGCTGTTGTTGTTAATTATCTTCTATTGTTATTCAGATTCCCTAAAGCATGCTGCAGTGTCACACTCTTAACCCTTGTGCTTCACAGTCTTGTCGTTTGGAGACGGTGTTCTGTCTGCCGGACGCCCAACGAATGGTGGTAATTACACCGTTTAGCTCGGGTTCAAAGGCCTGCCAGGCGGCAGCTGCATTCACCAAACCTCACCATGGCAACCTGTCAACATCTTTGCATGGATTGGTGCCATAAGGTCAGTTAAGGGTCTTGTCCTCTGTCATAATCTCCAAGCGCAGCATAAAATACACTCATCTTTTTTTTTTTTTTTTTTTTTTTGAGTATGTTTAAAGCCTCATGAGATACAGAACAACTGTATAAATGCAACTAGAGTATGGTGTGAAAAATAGATTTAGAGCAATTATTTATGAAACAAGTTTTTACAATTTTACTTATATTTAGTTTGTTTTTTTTTTTTAATGAAAAGTGAAACTAAAACTTATATAATTAGAAAAACCTAATTTGGAAACACCTTGATTATTACAACCATATACTCAGAAGGCATGGCCCATTACACAAGCACGCACACAGCCAGTATGACAACAGCAACAATTATAAAAAACATGACAGTCAACATTGAGCAGCCAGCCAAACTGCAACTGTCAGTTATCAAAAGTGAAAGTAAGAGTCATCTAGAGACAAATCAATGAAACGTTATTGCGTTTCTACATCAAACTCATTATAAAAACATCTCACAGACATTGAAATAACAGTATTTTGGGCTGGGTTACATATACGACCCCAAAAAGTTGCTATGCCCTGTGAAATGTTGACAAAGACAGAATTTCTACCCAGTCCACTGTCTGATACTCAAAATAAAGGCGAAAAACCTTATATTAAATCTTCAAAAACATGACAATTGTACCTTACAGCAGAAACGAAACATGTGGTTTAGTGATCCGGAAATACCAGATACTTCACTGGGCTGAGACATCCTCTGCCTTATAGAGGAAAGGGACCACCTGGCTTGCTCTGGGGGCACAGCTAAAAAGCAAGAATCTGTAGTGCTATGGGGTACTGAAGTGCCCATGGTATACAAAGCTTACATATTTCGGGGGGTGCCATAAATGCTAACAGACAATATACACACATTTTAGAAAAACATATTCTTCTATCTAGACAATTCTGTCTTCAGGAAAGACTCTGACAATGCCAAACCACATTCTGCACATATTACAACAGTTAAAGCTCCCCAAAGAGTCAGAGTGTTAAACTGGCCTGCCTGCAGCCCTGACTTGTCACCCATTGAGGACATTTTCCTGCTGAAAGAAATAAAAATAAGACAAAAGAGGCCTGTAACTGTTGAACCGCTGAAAGCCAATCTCAGGGGTGAATGGGACAACAATTCATTTTGAATACTCCTGAAACTGGCCTCCACAGGTCTCAAACATTAATCAGGAGGTGATGCAACTCAACGGTAAACATGCCAGTCTCAACTCTTTCAGAAAGTGTTCCTTTGACTAACCAAGCATTTATTTTTATAGCATTAAGATTTTTATATTTCAACATTTGGCATGCTGTCTCTGCACTATTTTGTGTTTTTTCAACATCTTACAGTGTCCATACTTCTTGTAATTGGAGTTGTATTTATTCTACTTTATTCAAATTATTATGTGAGTAAGACATAACCCTAGGCTTGTCAGTTTAAAAAATACACTGTACAGAAGCTGGTGGTGCGCTCAGTCCGTGGAACAGATGATGCTCCCTCTGAGGTTTCTCATAATTCTGTGGTTGTTCTAAGAAAAGGCTTGTTCATGTAGAATAGCAAAAAGGTGTGTTCTCTCAGTCTCCCATCCCCTTTCTCAATCATATTAAAATTGACTTTCATCTCATAGTTATTGCTGACGGAGACGTTTTCTCCCTCTCTTTCACTTATCGATCGGGTTGATAGAAACACTACCGTGGCGATTAGGCAGGCTGAGCCATGCTAACTCACAGTATCGAACTGAAAGGGAGTGGAGTTGGCCTGTGCAGAGCTCATAGAGGTTATCTGTGGCTCGGGCCGCACTCTAACCAAACATCAAAGCTCTTAATTAATGGGGGATGAATACACGATGCAGGTTATGACTTCAGCTAATTGGGGAATTGTTAAACAGAGACGGTACCGGAGGATTCAGCGGGGGCAGTGGATGGGGAATCGATGGTCAATGAAGAGAGGGAGCATGTAGGCAATTTGCCAGTTAATGTGTTCCCAATATCAGCCGAGGGAGTCAGAGGGTGGTGGGGCAGAGAGACTATTTTACATGTATTGATGAACTAAGACTGCAAACTAAAAGGACACAGCTTATTGCGGGGTGAAGGTAGATACCGTAAACATGTGTTATTTTTGTTACTGTGAACACCTGTCGTTCTTTCACAAACCACCAAACAGCTAAATCAAAAATAGGAGTAAAATGTGCAGTCTCAGGGGAATCAGGAAGTATCTTGATTATAGAGTTATGAGTGAGTTGATCTGCAGGTATTTTTTCCACATCAATATTCCATTAAGTGGGAATTAAGGGTAAGTCAAGTCCGTTGAGTTCAGAGACAGAGTTTTTTGGTGTCAAAAAGTTGGCTCGTCTTCAACAGTAACCATGGTAACCTACAATAACTTTATAACCTGGATGGTCTTAGGTTATGTTCAAAGTTTCAGCTTTAGATGGGCTGTAAAGAGCTGTTATTAATGCCTGCATATGTCTTGTGGGGGCATCAGGTTAACCTCAGCTAATAAATGTACAGAAGCAAATGTTTGGATATCAGAGGCTTTGACCCGCAACTTAACCCGACTCCTTTGTTCACACTTTTATCCTCACAATGTGAAGTCTGATCATGACAGTAGTCATGAGATAATGTTTTACAATCGTATGTAAGATTAAAGCCACTGTTCCTTCAATAGGTTTTAATTTACTTCTCTTATTCTCTTTATTTTGTTTCCCTCTTAACCTCTGGAACATGAGTCTGTTTGTGAATCCACTGATGTAATATGTTTAATAATAGCTGTCAACTTCTGTTTAAAAAAAATCAGCATAAAGACAAATACAGTGAGTACAGTAACTTTGTTTTCACTTTTTATCAATGTGACAAGTAACGAAAGGTATCCACAGTAAAAGTCAAAGGACCATATTGAAGAGCAGAGGTGAGTTTATCTCCATCTCTTCAGCTTTTATATTAATCTATCCTGCTTCAAGCTGCTGTTCCAGGTTCAAAATGGTGTAATAAAAGGTGTTATAAGCCATGGTAGTTACCAGACTCTGCTGCCATCTTGGTGTTTAAAAATATCTCCTTGTTTTCAGTTCATTCTGTTTAATTTTAGTTGACTGTTGTGTTATGAATTTATATTATTCACTTTCTTTTTCTATCTTGGATTTGTTGTGAAGTAACTGTGCATTTTTCAAAGGAAGTTTTAGAGCATGTGGGAGGGATTTGGGGTGGGAGTCTGGTAGTGTACTGCTTTATTTGTGTTATATGTTGGCTGATTTACACAGGGCGAAAATGTAAATAAAATATGCGAAAACAAAAATATATTTCCTGACAAATACTCTCCCATTGAATGCACTAACCGACCCATGTTATTCCTAATAAGGATTCTGACCAGTATTAATTTTGACTGACAGTGTTTTCATTTTTGAGAGGATTGTGCATTTAATGGCAGCTGCAGCTGTCGCTGGACAGAGCAGGAGAAATAACTCAGTTTCCCATGTTACTTTAGAGATCTTACCCAGGCCTTTGTGGGCATCAATGCTGGTGTACTCAATGGTTCCATTGTGGCCTTTTTTGGGATTTTCTTTGTATACTTTGTGGTTTCCATCAGGACAGTATCTGTAGGACAGCCCATAGTCTGCTAGATAGACCTAAAGCACAGGACAGACACAAACAAGACCTACAGTGAGTAACTTTTTCAAAGCCACCCAACAAAAAGACAAGACCTTGTCTTCTAAAATGTGCATACAGTGCAACAGAGTAGACCTCACTCCTGTGTAGTACGTGAAGCACAAATGATAGAGGTCAGCTGTGGACTCACCTTTTCAGGGTCTCTGTAACCCAGCATGAGGTTAGCAGCTTTAATGTCTGCATGAACGTACTCGTGTTCATGAATATACTCCAGCATAGACACCTGACACAACCAAATACAAAGCAGAGACACACAAGAGACACACGATTATGAGAAGCTGAGTGTGAAGAAAGGATCAATTCATATCAGGGGTCATGTTCTGTTGGCCTCTTGGGTTACATGAGGTCATTATCTGTCAAAGCTGCATGAACCTTGAACAAAAAATGACGATAACAAGTAAAAAGGAGTGGTGGTTTAGAAGTGTGAGGGTGATCTCACCAGTTCTTGGCCGAGTTGCAGCACAGTGGCTTTCTTCAGTCGACCACCATTTTTATCACACATCTTCTGAAGGTCAGTGCCGAGACGGTCCATAGCCATGAAACGATACCTGTGTAGTAGAGAATAAAGCACTTGATTTTCCTGATTCTGAATTACATCCTTTTTTTTTTATCCTTGACATGAAATGTATCAACAGTGTACAGTTTTCTAGGGAGTATTACAAAAATAGAAAAAGTAAAGCAGCCCTTCATCTCATAAGATATTTTTGAATCAACACTGTAATGGAATTGTATAAATGTTGGAACAGATAAAACTCTTTTTCAGACAGAAGTCACATTACTTTTATTGGTGCACATTAGGTTTCTGTTTTAAATAATCTTGCCACCATTTTCACTCCAACAAAGTTAAGGAATAAATCAGAGAAAGCTGAGTTTCAACTGTGAAAATTTCTAACACAGACTAATGCCATACACCAGAGGACTCTGGAAAAACTCTATAAAGATGCAGCAAAGACTAACTAACATCCACAGACAATGTGTCAACAAGCAACAGGTTTTCACTCAGGATTTTGCAAAAACAGGCGATTTTGCAGGGTCATTAACTGCAAGACTGAATCGAAATTACTGTTGAAAAATTAACAATTTTTAAACTCCTGTTGGGAGTTTTTGACCTCTATGAAATAGATGAAATTAATATTAATGCCATTCTATGTCTTATCTAAAAGCAACGGGATCATTAGCAACAAGATTGGCAGTTTGGTAATCCTAATTTTTATTGTCTTAAACCAGTGTGAGCAGGTTGATATCAGCCGGGCAGCTGAAGAAACATCCCTGTTCTCACAATTATAAAATATTCTCACTAAATAATACACCTGACTGCAGAGGTCAACAGGATGAATTTTTTTTTTAATAGAGAAAAACCACCACCTAAGCTTGAACAGGGCAAGAGCAGCAAAAACCACAAGGGAGGCACCGAAACTGACACAAACTGAGAGTTCCTCACTCGAGCTTTATGCAGAAAAACAACTGTAATATCTGTACTACTACAACCACTACAACAACAGTCATACTATTAATAGTAGGAATAGGAATGATGATGAACAATGATAATGCAACATCAATCAGGCTTTTGACAACAAAGTAAAGTACTGAGAAAATTCCTTGTCGAGCAGATACTGTCACCAACAGTCTTGCCTTTGAGAGCTGCATAAACATAAATACATTTTCCTTTAAATCATGTAATAATTCCTTACAACAGGTTTAGATAAACAAGGAAAAAGTCATCCTATGTAACAAAAACATAACTGTGAATTAGGAGGCCATTCTGAATCGACTTTTGGCCTCGAAAATCAAAGTTGAACTGAAGTGAGAGTTATCAAAAGATTCCCGCTTTACATGGGTGAAATAAAATGAATACACATTTGATTGAAATAAAGAGTGGAGCTCCCACCAGTTCTGAAAATCCTTACTTGAGGTTATCATATTCAGCAAGCCCTGATCCCCAGTATGTCGGGATGCCCAAGAAGTCCAGATTCCTGCTTGTCTTCCATTGATGCACTGTTATAATAAAAAAAATGTTATTATGTCAAGTTGTGTGAGCACATCACCATTTTCAAAGTCTTATATTAGGAGTATGAATAGACTGAATGACTGGAGTCAAACCACCAACTAAATTAAAAGTCAAAATCACAATGGCAGGGTTGAGGAGGCAGAAACCTTTGGGTCAATAAGTTGTATATATTTAAAAAAAAAAAGTTAAAGCAAATGGTTGGTAACTATGAAACTTTTAATGAGTCTTATTGTTTCCTAACCTTGAACTTCCCTCAAGTGTAGCACTGATTCAAAGAATTTTCTGAACAAAAGCCCCAAAATTTAAAGAGAAAGAAGCAAAAGTTTGGTCCAGAGTTTGTCCTTGTAAGTGTATTAAAGCATACCTGCTAATATCAATCTTACAGCAAGCAAGGTGAAAACAACTGCAAACACACACACACACCCACACACCACACACACGCACAGGCCCCAGACAAAGCAGTAGGCCTGGCTCAGGGCTTCATGGCGGCTGGCTTGACTGGCGCTCAACCAGGCTGGCAGGTGGTCAGGGGCTCAGCGGAGGCCCGGCCATCATTACGTGTGAGTGGCTCCCTCTCCAAACGCAGGCGTTGGAGAGCTCAGACAAGCGCAGAGAGGGGGGCTAACAGCCACCGAGGTGCATGTTTGCTTTGGCTTATTATTAATTACGGTGCGGCAGGCAGCTAAGCCTCTGTGTCTGCGGCCACTACATCAGTCAAACACACTCGTGCTCCAGCGAGCTGCCGTGGCGCTGGACGGGTGGTGCTACTCACTGCTCTCTGGTTTGGCTGCCCTCTGGTAGAACTTGAGCTCTGAGAACAGGGGGCCGTTCTCCTGGTACTCCTGCACATACAAGCATATGTACAGTATACATATTAAATATCTTATTATCACAGCTTCAAGAAGAACAAGGCAGGACAGAAATAAATATGTCTGGCATAAATGTGTTGGCATTTGACAAAAATTGAGCATCATTACATTAGTGCAACAAAAACAAGTGGAACAGTCTTCTCTGATTTCAACGCTTGACCCCTCTTCATCTCCACTTAAGTGGTTTACAATAAACATCATGGTTTTCATCTTGGATATGATTGTAAGACATTACATTGTGACTACTACAGCATCTATTTGACGCAATAGGAAGGTTTCACCCTCATGAATCCTGTCAATGCCTCCCAGTCCAACATGTGACAGTGTTTTTGTGAACAATCCAGTTGGGAATATTTCCAGGCAAGAACCTCTGAAATTTTCTGTAGTCAATGTCCGACAAAGGCTTTAGACTGCAGCAGATTTGAGACGGATTTGCCCATCCATGAAACTGGGGGTTTCCTTGAATACTATCTTTCATTAGTTGCTACAACATGCAAGAGGGAACAGTGACATCAAGCAGATGTGATCACCTTAACTACAACACAAGAAATACTGTACTTCCCAGCCAAAATCCTCCATCCTTCATCATATTCAATGGCGCTGATTCATCCAGACCCGCAATTGTTAGTTTTAAAGAAAGTCCACACTCACCAAGCCAAATTAAGTCACTCTAAACCATCATTTATGGCCTGAAAAGGATACTCCACAAAGTACAGTGACCGCTAAAACTCTTCATTTCATTTATTTATCTTAGAACTCATTCTGGCCCTGTTCTTAACTTATTTACATTTACCAATACCTTTTGTTAGAAGTTATAAGACCTCAAGCTAATCTGACCATTCTAGTACATCTGGATCTAGACCAAAAGTAGTCATTTGTTTCCATTTGGATTCTTTCACTGGCACAACCTGGGACTGTGAATGAAGAAGTACAGGGAAGTGTTTGGAGTTTTTTTTTGTGAGAGACATGTCCAACTCAACCAACCTGGTAACCAAACCAGGGGTACGACTGCGTGTAGGCCATAAATGTATGACTGTTGCCAAGAAAAATCTGACCATCCTTGACTCATTTGTGAATTAATCATGTCAAAAATTGTGTTTGTGAGAAAAGTAATTTTTGTCTTTTTACTTTACAACATAAAGAGCATTTCTTTCCAAATCCTGAAGTATAATTAAGCAAATTCAAGCCAGGGGACCCCCATTATAGGGCAAATTTCAGTATAAGGGGTCTAACAATTAATTGCATTGACTTTTAATCCCAGAGTGCACCTGTACGACATGTAAATGGCTGTGTGGCATTCCCATGTGGCATACAGTGATTCTTAATCCTCTTAGTAAATCATGGATTGCAGTGACAACAAACAACAATATATTTCTGCAGTTTTAGTGAAAAAGGAAAAATAAACTGCACATCTTGGTCGTTTTCCTGTTTGGTGACATTCTGAGTATGCATCTGGCTGGGCCATGATATTAAATGCTAATGTAAAATATCATTTTTCCATGACTTTTATATGACTTCTTAAAATTTTTATTAAACCATCAAATGATCATATATCATTTCTTGCGATGTGCTACTTAACATCAAAAAACACCAGTTTATCTCAAGTGGGATCTAAAGGTGTCTAGTAGTAATAAGTGCAGTATTAATGTACTCACCACTTTAATGACGAAATCAGTGTCTGCTGCAACAGGTGTGTCCACAGTCTGGGAGGCTTTGAGAAAATGAGAGACAGTGAGGACAGGTGAGATGAATGCAGACGAAAAAGAAGTGGTACATCATGCTTTGTCAGGACTGTTACTGTTTCAAATTTAAATTGAAGTGGCACCTCTTTATCTCATTTAAACTCCTATGGTACAGTTCAGCACGGTACACAGTTACTTGCATTTCCATCAGCAGGTCAACAAAGCTACCCAAATAATCAACCCATACCATCCTACTTTCTTGGAACCTTCTATTGGGGTAACTCTGGGCCTAAAGTGGCTTTAAAATTGGGAATATGCTCAATTCTAGTGACAGTCAGATTGCACATGAATTTAAAAGTTATTTTGTTAGATCTGTTGAGGCACTAGCTAATAATTTTAAAGTTCACAGTGTGGAGCCTTCTGTTCCTACGACTGCATATATGCAGCTAATTTTATAGTCAAACAAACATACATAAATGATGTCCTTAAAGGCGAGGCCTCTCACACACCTGATAAACCTGTTCATAATTAGGCAAGTTATTTCTTTTGTAAAATCACTGTCCTGGTCAAAACAAAACAAAAGCATTGTGTGAAAACAAGGGTGATCTCTTAAACGAAAATTTGGTTTTTGCTTTGAAAAGTGTTCTGGTGGTGTTTTCATGCCATATATTTCATGCTTTTAACATAAACACAGCTGATAAAAAGCCACTATACCCCCCAACCTCTATCTTTATGTATTTATTTTATTTTTTATGTATCTCAGCTGAGATTTGCATGTCACTTCCAAAACTGGCAAGCTTTCTATTTTCTCAATTCTCAGCAGGTGGCACAGATGTGAGATGTGCTGCTCACACCAGCAGTTTAAATGACAGCCCAAATGCTTCCTCCATGAAGCACCAGTTGACCATGGAAACACAAGTCAGATCAGGGTTTACCAAGTCAAATCATTACCAAACTGGACTGCTGCTGTAAACTTGAAAGTTGAGTGGATCAAGTCTTTGCGGTGGATGCCCCCTAGTCATACAAATATGAAACAGTCTACCTGTTTTTAGATGAACTGTTTAGTCACATTTCCAGTCCACTGCTTTGGACCACTCTCTCATGATGGCCTTCAGTTCAAGTCAAGCTCGACTCTTCCTGTCTACTTGAAAAGTATTTCAAAATAACTCTGTTTATTGTCTTACTTCTGATCTTATCTGCTTAATCGCCATCATTTATCTATTATAATATTTGTGTGTTGTTGTGTACGGGTGCTCTAATCTTTTGCTTTTGTTTCTTTTTACTGTCTGTCTTGGCTGAACAGCACATTGATCAGTTTGAGCTGTCTTTAAACCTCCTTTATGAATAAACTTGTCTGCACTCAACAGGTGTGCGTAGGTGTGACTTAATAACAAAGAGTTTCATATTTACCGAGGTAGATCAGTCCAAATCCACCTTGACCGAGGATTTTGCCAAGCCTCCATTTCTTCTTCTCTGTGTCAGTCAGTATGAAGCCCTCTGGGAGAGGTTTGGGTAATGCTGCCTTTCTTGGTGCCATTAAAACTGATTGGGTTTAAGAAAACATAACAGAAAGTATGAGAAACATATGTCAATTGATGATGATTCTGTCGACTTTAATGAAAGTCAAATGGGAAAGCCTGCTTTAATTTGCAGATTGAGAGTATAAATTTGTCCCGCAGTCAAACCAACGACCGAAAACCGCTGAAACGGTTAAATAACTTTGATAACATTGATGGAAAGAGACCAGCGGTTCACATTGAGGACTAACAGCTGATCCTGCTGTCTCAATCACAACATGGTTTATTATTTTACGACTTACCTGCTGATTTATTCACCAAACTCCGTCGAGGATAAATGCAGTACGTTGTCAGATGAGTTTTCAGTGTTGAAACATGTCGATGAAATGCCGTGTTTTAATCTGTACCGCATCCAATTACCGGTGAAAGCAGTTAGACTGTTAGTTGGGGTACTTTCCAAACGCAAACAGAAACAACAGAACTGAATCACTTCCTAGAGATCGCCCCTCCTCCGAGATCACGTAGCCAATAGCGTGTCAGGACAAGGGCAGCAGCCAATAGAGCAGCAGAAGAGGCGGGAGTTCAAATCTTAACCCATTGATGTGATGTTGAGGTGAATCTCTATAAACTAGATAGGATATCATCAAAAAGTTCATTTATTTCAGTAATTCGGTTCTACAGTGACATTCATCGGTGTTATCACACCTGAAAGTCCGGACCAAACGACATAGGTGTGAAAGCCCCCTTATTTTATAGATTCATCATACACAAACTGATATATTTCCTGTAATTTTGATGATGATAACTTATCCTTTGGGGATAAATAATGTTCTTGTATCTTTATCTTGTATCTTACAGATAATGAAAATCAAAAAAATCAGTAGCTCAGAAAATCAGAATATAGAATTAAAAAAAAGTATTTTAAACATAGAAATGCTGGACTACAGATAAGCATGAACATGTACAGCGCTCGATACTCGGTTGGGGCTCATTTTGCATGAATTATTGCTGCATTGCTGCATAGCCAGGAGGCAAACAGTCTGTGGTTCTGCTGAGGTGTTATACGGCCCATGATTCTCCTTTGAGTTCTCTGTAAGTTACTATCATCAAAGTGAAAGAAATAAAAGCTTAAAATATATCAGTCTTTGTGTGGTGAATCTAAATGATATACAAGTTCTGCTTTTTGAACTGAACTACTAAAATAAATCATTATTTTAATGATATTTTAAGATGAGATGCATCTGTAGTTTCCAAGGGATGGAAGGGGAACTTTTTATTCAGATTAAAACATGGGCTTCATTTAACCTGCAAACAAACCCCTAACCCTAACCCCATCCTTAAATACGGGTTAAACTCAAGACTTTCAAGAGTAGTAGTCCTGTCCCTATGAGTTTTTTTTTTTTTTTCTTACATAAATGACTTCATCTTCCTCCTGGAACATATACCCTGCTTTTTGTAAGTTGCTTTGCCTCATCTGTTTTCCTGTTCTGTATGTAATGTCTAGTTTTGGGGAATTATAGCAAACATGTCTATGTTTGAAATGTTGAGTGAAATATAAAAACCAGAAGTCATCAACATGCATGAAAATAACCACACACGGCAAAAATACTGTATTAGATTGATGTGATGGTAATAGAAAATCATGATATCCATCAGTATGTGGCATTAAAACAAAGTGGCATAGTGTTGGAGGGAAGATAGTACAGAACTTGGCTGAACAGCAGACGAAAAAATCAAGAAAAAAATCAAGGGTTGATTTTCTCTCTTTCACTCTTTTTTAGGATTTCAGCAAAATGGAAATCAAAGTCATCAGTCAGTTTCATGTATTGGAGAAAAGCAGAAGTCAAACTTCTGAATCATCAAACTAGTTGCTGTCTGACTTTGACACATTCATTCTTGGATAATACAGTTTCACTTCCTTATGAAAGTTACATCACGTGCAAGATGAAAGATTTAACCACTATCATCAAAAAGACCAAGATTTAACCACTACTTAGCAGTAAGTAGTGGTTAAACTCTAGAATGAAATACTCCCCTGCTCACCCTTCTGATCATTGAGGTGAAAGTGGCCTTTGAGGACAAGAAGATTCTCTGATCCATAATGAGTTTGAGCCTTATTTGTCAAGTTTTACCATCAAAAGCGTCCATCAGTACAGACATTTATTTCATAGAACAACTCTTCTCACTCTACTAAATACAAACAGTGTATGTGTCTAGTTTGTGCTGTCTGTGCTACAGTAGAAACATGGCGGTGCAAGTTGGTGGCCTCTGTTGTAGGGGCTAGGTCTTGTGTAGATTTAAAAAGCTTTTACATTAAGGTGATTATTTACTAATATAAACATATGTAGATATGAATATTATATTCCATTTTGACTGAGCCTGTTCAGCTTAATAATATTATATTTGACACAAGTTGCCCTTGATAGCTTGTTGTATAGACACCTGTTTTCATTACAAACCGTGGGTATTAGGTTGCAGTTGGCAAGTCCCTCCTACTTTTTAAACCGTTTTTCTAGACCCCCCACTTTTACTCCTTCTTTCAACTGAACAAGATAAACGGATAAACTGTTTTTGATGGTTAACTGAGTTTAGTTTTTGATTGACTTTCCCCATTGCTAATGCTGCTTCGGCCTCTGTTTACAGATGCCAGACACTTCACAACAGGGGGCAGGTTTGGGAGTTTGGTATGTAATCTCCCATTACCACAAGCTTGGTATTCCATTCAGTATTAATGCACAGTTACGTTGAATAACAATTGAATCTCGACAGGGCAATTTAAATGGACTACTGGGCTGCTGTACCCTGTTTACAGGCAAGAACTAATTTATTTACAAAGGGAGGTGATATGCTCCCTTACAGCTTATTACTTTTGGGCTTGTCTTCCAGTCGGCCAACCGCCTCACTCACCAAAACAAACTGCAAACACATTAGCAAGATGCTAACCACATGTATGTTCAACAACGAAACAGCCTCACTTCTACAGCTCTGTAAATTTTATAAATAATTCAGAACCTCTTTGAATCTCTTCTTCTGCCAAGGTTTTGTTTACTACCTAACTTCCTAGCAATGCATTAATCCTATTCAACTTCTGGGTCAAACCCTGAAATGTGGACCATGGAGCATGTGGAGAACACTTAGGCCAGTTTTAGTTTGATGGAGGAGAATCTATCCGAAACTGCATTATCTGAGTATGTTAGTCAAACTATCAGATATTCAATTTAGTGCAATTTCAGTTTGTATTTACATGTTTTAAAGTCCAGTTTTAATCACACTTACTCAAGAAGTTGATTCTTTAAACATGTAAATGATTAGCTAGGTGCTGATGGTAATGTGAGTTTATATTGTGTGTAGTTCCACCTGTGTGATAGGACAACATAATCTGGATAAGATTTCTAAATCTTTTTCACACTACAGCTAAATAAAGGTAAAAAAGCATATCAAAATGCTTCATAATATGGGAAACGTACTCTTTCTTCTGATACCCTTTAAATAAACAGTAATACTCCTTTAAAAGGGAAAATACACATGTACTCACTAGATATCTAACAAACCAAACATCAGCAGCAGAGACGGTTTGCTTTCATTGATCTGTGTCATTTTATTCAGTAAATACTTTTACAGCTTTGCTCTGTCCTTCACTCTCAATATGATGCGAGTCTTCCCCCTGCACAAAAAAGACTGTTTCATTTTTAATTCAGTTATGCACTCAGAATATTTTTTCATTGAAAAGCCAAATTATTCTTCAGAGTTTCCTGCCATCAAGTGGCTGTAGGTTGCTCTGCGTATCAGAGCGGGTATTTTGGAGAAAATTTGACTCCGCTGAAGGTAACTTTAGTTTTACACTGATCCAAGTACACACTTGTTGCACTCGAAAATGCTCAGCCTTTGCATGAATACTTCACATAGTCAATAAGGGCAGCTGATGTTAGCAGTAACATGAAGTAAAATGGAAGTAAAGGTGGTGCTGGATGGGATTCCGACATGAGATTGGGCCTTAGAAGCAGCCTCTTGTAAAATGCTTACTCAACTTACTTTCTCTAATCAATACCAGTTTGTTTTCAGGAATTCAGTCCTCCCTGTTGTAACCCAGCTTGATCTCCGTTTTGCTGTACAACATGGTCAATATCATGCCTGCCTAATCAACACAGGCTGCAAAAAACATGTGTAACACCTGAACCAGTGGTGGACAGGAACTCAAGCATTTCTCTCCACTCATCGCTCCCAATCAAGCCTGTTTTATTCCGATGAAAGGGGAGAGAAAATGGCCTCTCTTGTTGTTCCTGTTCACTGTGCACCTGCAGTGAGCCTATCGATCTACAGACACCCTCAGGGCCTAATTTAAGACTCAAGGATTCTGCTATGAAAGGAGGAAAATAAAACATCACTGGTTGAACATCAGGTAGTCATGAGGAGAACTGGAGGAAAACAGAGTCTGCTTTAGATTGAAGATGAGCTTTAAGTCCGGGGCTGTTTGCCTGGAGATCATTCAAACAACACTTCCAATGAATGGGGCCTAATTATTGCACCATCAAGCCTATAGCATCTAAATACCTGCTATTTACTCAACTTATATTTCTTTGATTCAGGAATATGTTTAATTGCTTTAATCCTTCCCTCACATCTGTTTACAAATGTGTACATCATCATTTCAGTGAGGTGAGGAGCATTTTCTTCTTCCTGAACTGTCATGTATACTCGAATGGTCAATGGCCCTACACATCAATACATGAAGACTCAGGTGTTCTCTAGTTTTGCATACCCAGAGCTCTTGCCTATTGCTCTGTAAAAGTCTCAAAAACATCTTGACAGAAACATGAATTATTTCAAGTTTTGATGTGCGACAAAGACTAGTATCGAGAATGTAAACTTGAATGATATTCTGTAAATGCAAATATAAGCTCCTTTTCTTCCCCGCCTCTCTCCTCAGCTAGGTGAGAAGCTCATTTTGACTGTCTTGCAAATCTTAATCACGTCTTAGTTTTCTTGAAACTACGCTGCATGTCTCCTGTGCTTTAGTGGAGTTCAAAGGATGTTACAATTGACTGTTTTCCTCTCTATTAGTCACACTGTTAGCTTTTTGAGCTTTTCTTTTCAATAGTCTTGATGATGAAAGGGTTTCAAAAATCTTTGAAAGATTAGCTGGTTCAAGGTCCAAAGTAGTCAATCAATTCAGTATCTTTCACAGTTGCTGTTTTTGGTGGTTTGGTACAAATCTGCCTTTATGCAATGCCAAAAACTGCCTATTAGTCCTACAGAACATAATAACTGTGGCTTTTGCTTGATGTCCCCCCCAATGGAGGGTCCTAAAAGGATCAAGTCCCCCCATAAGCAGATAACAATTGCTGTCTTACCTTTTCAAATAGAGTTTGCTAGAAATTACTCCAAATAATCTGTGATCTTTAGATGTGTTGGGAGATATCTTGTTGTGCTTCACTGGGTTCAGGCATTGCTCTTTTGCTGGCGTACTTTCCAAAGCATTGGCCGATTCATGTAACCAGTTCTCTACAAAAAAGGGACTTGACTTCAATGGGTCCAGTTGAGGTTAAATGACTGGAGAAAGTCATCGTCCTTGTCCAGCAGGGTATCCACACAGTCAATCCATCCAAAAGTCACCAAATGTTAACTTCATTGATACCATAACCTCTCTCTGTGGTCCAGGTTGTCACCTTCATCCCCTCTCCATCTCCTGACCATTTTCTCTCTGTTTTTTCCTCCCCACTCACTTGCCCTCTAGCTCGCCTGCTCTCCTCTCTCCCACACTCACCCTCACACTCTGCCACCTCTCACCCGGGGTAATTGCTCTGTGAGCTCGGCGGTGCCTGCAGAACGACAGCGCAGTTTCCTCCCGCCGCCTCTCACACTCTGGACTCCGTGACACCAATCTCGGCGAGGGCGCGACACCATTTTGTGTAACTGGCCCTCGTGATGGAGATGGCGTAATTGTCCTAATTAGGGGGGCGCGGATCGAGGCGGCCATGGCTCTGACCCACCCCGGCCCGCGTCCATATGGTGGGAGGCTGATAATGAGCCGGTTAATGTGCTGTGTCCATCAGCGAGAGATACTCAGTATGGACGTTGTGCCAAAGAGATGGAGGAGGTTTCACTCTCTTTGCCCTCACTTCTCCTTCCTCTTCCTCACTCACGCACACATATATTTACAATTTGACTCGAATTAAAAAAAAAAAAATGGACAAAAAAATCTACTCAATACCTGACGTTTTAAAGTGCTTAATTACCTACAGTAGTCTAACCTGTCAGCACATTAGTGGGCGTTACATTTTGTCAGTAACAGTCTGCCCCCGATCATAAAAACGACATTTTCAAACTGTTTCATTTTATGAATCATTTGTTCCCGGCCCTGTCTCTCAGCTCCCATCATGCAGCTGTGTCACTATTTCATGTTGTGACTTTGTTCCCTTTATGAATATGAGATGTATTGCCGGTTCAAATGAAAGTAATACAAATCTAATGGCCAGTAATGAGATGCTATTTTGCCATTATTGGACGTGGGCTGGGTCGAAGTCAGTGTGTGTGTATATGTGTGTGTTTGAGTGGGAGCATTCTCAATGCTGCATATGATTTGATGCTAATAAAACCATACTTTCTGCTCCAGGGAGCAGGCACTGACCAGGATTCAGATTAGGACTTAATGGCTTCCAGGCCTGGGGCTAAATTGAAATGTAAAACCCCAAACCAAACATCATTTAGTCCTTACGTTTCTTGATGTGGCCCAGCAAGTAAAAATTGGAGACATGTAGCTGTTTAACTGTAATTTGCTTTGTTTAATGCAATCGTCGTATTAAGGAGGCCAAGCTGCATGAATGTAAATGCATGTCTGGATTTGCATTGCTATGCTATGACTATTTCTGTTAATCTGAGTCCACTCAGCAGCCTCTTCATGCAACAATTTAAACACATTTACTTATTTTCCTTCTTATTGTTCCTTTTATTTTAATACTTTTTTAAAAACTTATTTTGATTAAATCTGGACCAGAACTGGGCCTGAATTTATTCAGTAAAAGTGACTCCCTCATGGGGTTAGAGGGGTTAATGATTAATAGGGGCCAAATACATAAGCATTAGCCAGGTTTGCTGTCATCCACAAGTTGATCGTGATAGTTCCAGAGATGTCTAGAGAAATTTACTCCACGCTGAAGTGACAGACAGGACCTTGCTCTGCTTGTGCTGGCTTTGATGAATGTTGAAACAATTACAATGAACATTTCACCTCTGCCACTCACAAGAAAGACGTATGCTTAAGTAATACTAACGAATACAACACACAGAGAAAAGATGACACAGCTCTACAACCCTACATGTCCAGAAAGCCTGGTCAAGTATTATGTTTGTATACCAACAAAGATCTTTTCTCCTTCTCCTCTACACCACAGCAGGTTAGCTTGTGCTAATCAATCTAACTTAAGTTACATGTGTTGAATCGATGTGTTGGTATTTGTCATATCTATGATTATGTACAGCTTATGTCTGATTGTTTTTGACTGTTACCAGCCAAAGTGGCCAGCTTTTTGTGTTGGGTTAGGTTGGTTAAGGTTCAAAAAAGTCATGGTTTGGGTAAAATGTAAACTCTAATAAAAGATTTTGCTTCCTAGGCTATATTTGGATGTGCATGTTGGTGAATACGTCAGTTAAACTACTTACTTTGGACTTGGACTTCAGTCTTTGATGCACAAGTCCTGTTTTTATGTGTTGAAATAGGAATATCTAGCAGTCAGATTCTAAATGGAAACTCTCACCCTCCCACTGGTGAACCATTGGTGACCTTTTATGATGAGAAACCCCATTCACTCAATATTTTCTTTTACAAAAAAATCTGCACTAATTCCCACAAAGCATAAAATATCTTATGTTACTATTTTGTTTCACCTTCTTGTCTGGGGACATGGCTGTGAAAGATGCAGCCCCCCTTGAAGGACACCTGCTCCTATGTAGATACAGAAGGCTGATTCTGGGTTAACGAAAATAAAACAACCTTTACATTCAGGGAAAAAAACACTAATTTTAACATTTCCACCAAGTCTTTTCTGCTAAATGCTGCTAATTACTACATAACCTTTAACCCAACAATCTTTACTACAACAAAAGAGGATATTCAGGCATTATATTCTCAACCACACTCTACTTTAAGCTTTCTAAATGTACTTTGAAGTGCTTTTAAACTAGTTATTTGTGCCCATGTACACAAAACTTTAGATTCGTAAAAAAGAGCCATGTGATGAGACCGAGTTTGAATAGATGTAGCCACACAAAGGCTGTAGTTTTTCTTTTCATGCACAAGAAAAGTTAAATAAAAAACTAAGATAACTTGAATTTATCATCGACAAATTCATGTCTTAGTGTAAGACGGTCCACTCACCAAAAATCCTACACAGCCTCTCTGTGTTTGTTCAAGGTCTCCCTGACAGCAGATAAAGTTTGTAGCAGCTAAACGCCCCATTTCAATTATCTCTTTGGACAATAATCAATACAATACCACTGAAAACTCTTCTACCTGTCATTTCTCATCAATCTGGGTAACACTTGTAGAAAAAGTGAAAAGATTTGAAGCTTTGAAGGTGCAGTTTTCTCGAGCTCTTTACCCATTCACAGCTCACATTTGCTCTTTAATGGTTTTGGCCAAGCTCAGGGTCAGTCTGCGGGGGAAAAAAAGACAGCAAGGAGGAAGAAAGAAGAATGATGAAAAAAACATACACAGAAACCCTTTTTTTAGAAAAAAACTTTCATGAGATCTATCCAGTCTTACCTTGGGAAGCATCGATTGGTTATGGTCTACCACGTCTGGATCATGTCTCTGTTCACTCTTAAATGTGGCTTTGAGCGATAGTTCATGGACTACGGTCACTGCCGCACTTTGTTCGACAAAGCATTCACACATCGCATCAGTTCCCTCTTTTAACCCGCGCCGTCCCTTTTCCTCGTTCACAAAAGAAATCAGCTCAAAGAAAAGGACAAAATGCCTCATTCACTAATTCCTCCCCAATCTTTTCAGTTTGTTCTCAAGACGGTTCCTGAGAAAAGTCCACAGCTGTGTCTGAAACTGCAAACTATCATAGCAAGTGTGCCATCATATTAAAGATGTAGTATCTGTCGTATATGCTGCATATAGAGAGTTTATGAGCTCAGTCAGACGTCTTTTTCCACTCACAAAATCTAATACGAAGCTGCTCATGGATGGCATGATTCTGCACGCCGATGTTCTTTCCTTTGGGACTTACGTCTTTAAAAACAGTCCTTTTGTTTTGAAACACCCAAACTAGGATGTTTTTGTGGACTTGTTCTCATTGTTTGTTCCTTTGTTTAACTGTAAGTATGAAAGTAATTCAGTGTAAATGCTTTCAGATCTGCATCAAAGCCTGTGCAATAAAATCTACTCTTTATTGCTAAAGTTATTAAAGCTGATTATTATGTATTAGGTCTGTTTCAACTGCTTCTCATTATTCAGACTCATAGTTCTGAGTGGATAGATCATCAGTATGAAGATGTTTTCTTCTGCCAACTTGTTTAAAGCAGACAGAAGTAATCGACAGGACTCCTGTGTTGGTGTCTGCTTTAATATTTGAAGTATTTCATCAGCTGCTGAAGAATATTAAAAATAAAACATATTTCAGTCTGTTCAAGCAGCTTATTAACATGATCTTTTATTGTTCCTCGGGGATTGTATGAGCCATAAATCAAGCTGTAAACAACAACCCAGCAGCACTATTTTTTTTTCTGCAAGTAAATGTAACCGTGTGTCACGGCTTTCACTTTAATTGCTCCTGAGGGGGGATGAGAAGACATGATTCAGAAATTATTCAGCACAAAGCAGGTAAGGTTTCACTAAAAGCATTACACCTGACCAGGTGACCACGATGAGGATTTAATGGACAACCTAGGGACCAGAACTGTCTGCTATGTACCAGAAAACGGTTGTAAACTTATTTTTATCTCATATCACCGTTGGTAAAGGGCAAGACAAAACTCCAAAACTTCCAAGAAAACCAAACCTCATAAATAAAAAGCTGTCATTAAAATCTGTCTGTCGCAAGGACATAATAGATTCATCATTATTATAATGATGTGTTATAAATTTTAACTACTTACATAACTTACATACTTGCATAACTACTTCTATAACGCATTATAAATATATGTATAATGCGTTATAACCACGTCATAGCACTGTATAACTATAGTTATAAACACTTATAAATGATTATAATGCTTTATAGCAATAATCACAACACATTATAAAGCATTTTATCATGACTTAAAAGGTCAGGTATTATAGTGTGTTATAACTGTTAACAGTTGCATTGCATTATCTATGTGGGCATTGTCAGTGAGTTGTTAACAGTTATAATACATTATAACACCTGACCTTGTAAGTCATGATAAAATGCTTTATGATGTGTTATGATTATTGCTATAAAGCATTATGATCATTTATGAGTGTTTATAACTATAGGTATACAGTGCAGTAACAGGATTATAGAGATAGGCATCAAATAAAGTGTTACTGATTACTCTTATTCAGTTTCACAGGCCTGATGACTGTGGCCTTGCCTAACTTGTAAACATTAATTCTTAAACATTAGTTCCTATCTTTGTTTTGTCAAATATAAATGTTCCTCTCAGACTGTGCTTACTGACTGACCCTCATCAGTGGTAACTGTTCATTTTTGCCTTTTTATTTTATCTGTCTTTAGTCTTTAAGGTTTCTAAATTGTATGTTTAGCTGAAGTAATAGTAGGATGTTATTTTGGTTTTCTTTTGCAATAAAAAAAGAGTTCATATATTATGCATTGATTAATGCATTTCTTTGAACCTACACAGTGAGTGAATAAGTGTACAAAGTGTACAAAGAATTGGCTTATTCTTAGCTTAGTGCAGTGAATCTGACAGTTTGGCTTTGACGTTGTTTATATGTGATTTAGTTTATTGCCACCTGTTACTCCGAAAAAATTGAGTCCCAAGCACAGTTTTATTTTCAACTGGTTGTAATTTTCCTCTCAGAGTTTGAAGCCACATCATCAAAAGTGATGCATTTTGTTGTAAGCCACACCAAATGTTTGTAGTCCTGTCTTCATTTTATGTTGATTATAATTTGAAAATTATGGCAATAAAATAGCAATACCATTAAATAGAGTCAGAGTTTGTCATATGACTTCTAACTGGAGTGTCACAACAGTTACTTCCCATATAGATGAATTCAAATGGCTTTGTAAATGTGTAGAGTTAAGTTAAAATGTGCAAAAATATGAGTTGCTGTAGCTCATAGTATTAACTAAATTCGAAATAAATTTAAATGTAGAAATAAATGAATATTGGCTGCGTGGTTGTGCATTGGTTGCATCACAGGAAAAAGGTTCCCAGTTTTAATGCTTTAATCTGTTGTTTTGTCTTACTTTCCTTGTTTTATTTTTTATATATTTTTGGTTTGCATATTCGAAATAAACTTCAATCAATCAATCTATCAATCAATCAATCAATCTGACTGGAGCAAGACTTCCAAAAAGCATGTAAACGCATTAGTCTGACTGAAATTGCACTAAAACAAACTCATAGGCGGACCAACATCTACAGATATTATGCTTGAGGTTTGATTTTCTCCTCCATGTTTATGGCTCCAATGAACTGAATCTAGCCTAAATACTCCAGAGTTCACAGGGCGTCTTGGGCTTTGGCTTGGATGTAGTAAATGTTTTGCCAGGTAGTAAACAAAAACTTTGGCAGAGGAGTAAAGGACGTCAACAAAGACAAAGCTGTCTGATCACTTGTTAAAAAGACACTGAGCTGTAAAAGTGAGTGTTTTTTATTGTTTTCTGTACAGTTTGTTTGCCACTTGACAATGCGTTTGTCGATTGCTTTGTAACAGGTCATCAGTGAAATGGCCCAATAGTAAATTGATTTATTTTGGAGGCGCGCTTTATGGCATTTTCTTATTAAATTCAACACGTGTTACTTTTATAACTTTGAATTGAATTGTTTGGTTTAAATTTACTGAAATTACTTCATATTTTTAACTTCAACTCTGATACGTCAAATTTATTTTATGACAATCACTTTGTTGCCATATTTTTATATGAGGATGGTGGAGTGGGTAACAGACTGTTTCATTATTTAGAGTGGCAGCGTGAAATGTATAGAGACCAGGCTGTCTGTAAATGTTTGATCGAATCATTTCATTTACACTCTTTTGTGTTTGCGTGTGTGTTATTGAAAAGAGGTGTCTTATCACAGCAGTGAGACCTGGCTTTTTTAAACGAAGGACTCTTGAAGAGATATTTTGATGTGAAAGAAAGCAGAAGTGAAAGTTTCAGTGTTTTACTCGAGCTGGAGGTCAGGCCTGCTTTTGTACTCTGATCTGAAACAAAGAAAATACTTAAAGGCATTTCTGTCAAAGCAAAGTATGCAGGTATGCACAGAAAGACATGTAAGATGTAAAAGCCAACGTGCTGAGATTGTTATGGCATGACTTTCAGTGCCTCTAGTGTCTGCACGCTTTAGAAAACATGTCTTTCCAAACATTTATGAAGTAGTAAAGTATGTAAGGGCACCGAGAAAAACTGTTTGAGTCTGAATGTTAGTTATGAAAAAAAATGAGAAACATTCAAGAACAAACATATAGAAAACTATGCTTGATTTTGCTCATTTGTGTGTGTGTGTGGTTTAACACTATTTCCCTGCACACCTGGAGCTGCATTACACACCTTCACACTTACAGCAGAGACTCCGGCCTGCGAGCCAATCCCACTAACAAGACTCACCTATTTCTCCTTCTCACGGCAACACCAAGAATCCAGCACAACAACAACAACAAAGGAACAATGCTGGCAGGGAGAATGTATTGATTTATTCTTTATGCTAACTAGATTTTGCAGTTGCACAAACAAACAGCACTTTGCTTTTCTTTTGTTTCATCCCAGATCCCGCCCCTAAATCATTCTGACCCCAATAAACAATATACTTTTGAAAATACAAAGCATCTCTGATGTGGATCCCAAAGTTTCTGTCCAATTTATGCAGGTGTGTGTGTGTGTGTGTGTGTGTGTGTGTGTGTGCAGACTTTGGGGGAACGGAGATCCGGCCCTCCTGTTCTCTCACCTGGGGCTGCTAACTAGCTCAGAGAGTACGCGGTCATACGGCTCACAGGTACCGCAGGGCAATTACACAACTATCATTTGCTGGAGACTACCTTTCTCTTTGATGTTGTTCCTCTAACAACAATGCTTTCTTTCTCCTCATCCCCCCACTGGTGCTCACAGAGTGTTAATTACAAAGGCGATTACCATCTGCATCCAAACCGCTGTTTCCCAAATGGTGGGCCAGGATCCTGATGTGGGTCACACACAGTTTTGAAAAGGACTTTGAGTTAAACAAGGTAGAGAGTGGATAAACATGTCAGATATGTACATCTATGGTTCAGATAAAGTGATGTTTATAGTGAAATATTTAAACAGTGTTGTGATTGGAGCTTTAAAATGATGTCTTGGACCCTACCATCCAGCTCCGCTGACCTGCCATCCTCTGTCTTTTCCGAAATGATCAATCAGTAGGTTCACATGTTGGTCAAAGAATTCATTTTACGGCCGTAGTCTGACTGCAACTAGACTTTTGAAAAAACAAACAAGTACATTCCTCTGTTTAAATCCACCCCTTATAGTGGGACTAACTCACCTGGATAATGGTTGGTTGGGGATCAGTTTTCTCTTCCATGTACATGACTCCATCAAACTGAAACTAGCCTAAGCTCTCTGCACACGCACATACTTTCTTGTATACCTAGGATACTTCCCTCACAAGATTGTTAATATCACTCAGTACGTTTACATGACACTACAGAAAACCAAAGTATTGCCTTACTCCGACCAGGCAACTGAAGTGCATCTAAACACCTTAGTCCAACTATAATGGAGT